TTTAAACATTGTGTGTTTGTCAAACAGATATATGAATCAGATACAAGTCTTGTACAACAATAAAATATTTTAAACAAGCGATCAAATAATCAGGCAAGATAGAAAACCCCTTTAAAAGTTGCAGAAAGTTCCTGCATGCAGAACAAATAAAAATAAAATGGACAAATATATCAGGAATTGAAACAACACTAATAAACAAACTTTGATCAGAGAAACTTTACTTAAAGTTAAAAAGCGCGTTAAAATTGAAATATCGCTGTATTATCTTAAACCATTAATATCAATGGTGGTAATTCATTTTGATGGACTAGTGGTTGTCGTTGGTTCATGTCTGTCATATTTGTTTTTCGTTAATTGTTTTGTTATAAAAAATGAAAACAACACGCCACAAACGTAATGCGTACGAAGCGCCTCTACGGATTCACCTTCATCAAGAACGCTCCAAGCCGAACATCCGAAAGCCAAGGATGTACAAGAACCGAAACAGTTGAAGAGCTACATGACCAAAAGCACCCAAAATCACCAAATCCATCCAAGGCCAACCCTGCACCTCAGTCTCTCTACAATTTCAAAATTTATATACGGACAATTTTAGAAATGTTTTGTTATAAATCATGTCAGTACCGAAGTACTGACTACTGAGCTGATGATACCCTCGGGGACTAATAGTCCACCAGCAGAGGTATCGACCCAGTGCTGTAAAAAATGAAAACAACACACCACAAACGTATGCGCCCCTCCGGATTCACCTTCATCAGGAACGATCCAAGCCGAACAACCGAAAGCCGTTAGTTTTCTCAATTGAATTGTTTCATATTTTTCATGTGGGGGCCTTTTATAGCCGAACTTTTTATATGAACTTTGGTGGACAGTTTTCTCATTGGCAATCATACCTCATCTCCTTATTATTCTTTTTAAAAATAAGATGTGGTATGATTGCCAATGAGACAACTCTTCACACGAGACAAAATGACACAGACATTATCAACTATAGGTCACCGTACGGGCTTCAATAATGAATAAAACCCATACCGCAAAGTCAGCAATAAAAAGGCCCCGGATTGACAAATGTAAAAAAAATCGAACGAGAAAACTAATGGCCTGATTTATGGACAAAATAATGAACGAAAAACAAATATGATATACAGCAACAAACGACAACCACATTATTACAGGCTCATGACTTGCATGTTCCAGTTTACTTGCATTCAAGGATTTCAGCCCTCACAACGCGACTGCTTAATAAGGTTATTTCACGCCGGTTCAACTTATTAAAACTGATGAAACCTTGTGGATTTTGAACATAACAGATCCCTGATTAAACATCTGTCTACCATTTAACTTCGGAACTTTAAATGTTTTTCAGTGTTATTACTTCTTTTTGATACCTGAAAATATAGCGAATTTTGCTTTTATGTAGGATTTTATTAACTTAAGAGAAAATAACATATTAATGCGTAACATAAGACAAGATTGGAAAATAAAGGGTATGGGATAGATCACATGAGACAACAATCCCAAGAAATGTAAGAAAACTCCAGTAGATATTGTACATTTATTTCCCTTGCCCGAGGGAAATATGACTTAATGAGGATGAAAAAATCTTCATATCTCCCTAACCTAAGGGAAAAGAATGTTTTATTCCACTCCCTATACTGTTTTTATTTCCTGGACGTAAAATATTAGTTTACATACAATTTTTTCATATCCACTTTTTTTATAACTACACACGAAATAAACATTGATTTGATAAACAAAACCGATCACAAGTTAATTATTTGTTCTATGACCAGTTTATTTTTTTTAACTACAGTTAGCTATATAACGTCGCACAAGGAAGTCCCGATGCAGAGGAAATATAAAGTTTTGTTCAATGTCACGTGGGATAGTCTCAACCAATCAAAAGTTGATTTCGCTATCAATATTTTCAAACAGTGGAATAAAAAGATGTATTATCGTTTAATATTTTTTCGGTATAGTTTTGGTTTTGGTTTAATTCTTCTTCATCAGAAAATACAGAAATTGTCAAATACTTTCAAATATTTTCAAATTGCACTTTTGATTCATCATATGTAAGAGCATTAATGATTTAAACTTATATCACAAATGTGGTATGTTTTTACTTTGATCATGCAGTAGATAAACTTAATATTCAAAACCAAGAAAATAAAGGGTATGGGATAGATCACATGAGACAACAATCCCAAGAAATGTAAGAAAACTCCAGTAGATATTGTACATTTATTTCCCTTGCCCGAGGGAAATATGACTTAATGAGGATGAAAAAATCTTCATATCTCCCTAACCTAAGGGAAAAGAATGTTTTATTCCACTCCCTATACTGTTTTTATTTCCTGGACGTAAAATATTAGTTTACATACAATTTTTTCATATCCACTTTTTTTATAACTACACACGAAATAAACATTGATTTGATAAACAAAACCGATCACAAGTTAATTATTTGTTCTATGACCAGTTTATTTTTTTTAACTACAGTTAGCTATATAACGTCGCACAAGGAAGTCCCGATGCAGAGGAAATATAAAGTTTTGTTCAATGTCACGTGGGATAGTCTCAACCAATCAAAAGTTGATTTCGCTATCAATATTTTCAAACAGTGGAATAAAAAGATGTATTATCGTTTAATATTTTTTCGGTATAGTTTTGGTTTTGGTTTAATTCTTCTTCATCAGAAAATACAGAAATTGTCAAATACTTTCAAATATTTTCAAATTGCACTTTTGATTCATCATATGTAAGAGCATTAATGATTTAAACTTATATCACAAATGTGGTATGTTTTTACTTTGATCATGCAGTAGATAAACTTAATATTCAAAACCAAGAAGACTCAGATGTTAACTTAATTTGGTATTTGCGTAAGTTTAATACGTATTGCTAATGCATTTCACCCCAACATCCATACTTTCAAAATGATTGTTAGTTATTGCTTTTTTCAATAGGTTACTAGTTGCTCAATGATTTTTTTTTTAAACTTCATTATTCAAATTGCAATAATGTTTAGCCATCATATAAAAGAAACTGAATAATCATATTTCCAGAAAACCTAACAACGGGTTTCATTTAGAAGAAAATTATTAATAGGAAGTCTTAACAGGAGTAACCCAGTACAGAGATAAAATTAGCAAATAAATATCTCCAACGGCAAATCCAATTGACTTTGATGATCATAGTCCAAACAAACCTTTACACAAATCGCAACTTATCATTTAATTTATGACATTTAAAGACGAGGAACTGCCTATTTCAAATGTCATCATGCAATTAACATATTTGTATTTGTCAGCATAACGGACACTATCGGTTAAAGCATTTGTTGTTTTCCCACATAAACAAGGTAAATGATTTTTCTTGGAAATCTTCATAATGTATAGTATTCTTAGACAGGAAAGATGTATAGTGAGATTGGATAGACACAAACACATACAATGCTACAACAAAAAGGTAAATTACATTGTCATATGTTTTCCTTCTTTGTTTTACCTCTAAATATAGTGGAAACATATAACCTCGCTATTTCTCTAACTTTTAAAAACAAATCCTGCAAATTATTGTTATGATTTTCTTCAAGTTTAAAAACAAACACACAAAAGCTTCTTTTTATTAGTAAAACTTGTGTGTACTTTACAAATATCTTCTTCAAGATTGCACAAAATTATAGTAAAAACTGAATTAATTAAAATGAATATGTATAAATTTAATACAAGTTCTAACATTCGTCTTAATATATTTTGTAAGGTTCGTTCGTTTGGAAATTCACACAAATATGCGTCTGTACATTGTACACCACAAAACAATGAATATAAAATATTACAAATATATATGGTATGCAGCAATTCTATAATTTTGTTTCATATGTCAAATATAATTTAGTCACACAAAATGAAGAGCTCTGTCTATCCGTCAAATAAAACAGGGAAAACGTTAAGCTCAAATCTATGGTGATGAATGTTGGATATAGTGTGCAGTGTATTCTTTACGGACTGAGCTTCTAAATATGTTAACTGGAATAACAAATTTTCAATTGAGATACGACAGACAACCAATTTGTTTTCTACATTGATGATACAATAAGAGTTTGCTTGTCAAATAACTGATGGTTTAATTGCCACATTGAAATGATATTGAGGAGAAAAATCACATGGAAGTTTATATTTTCTAAATTTTTCTCACTTTGACATACAGCTCATTTACTTTCAGAGGAAATTATCGTAGGGATAGTTCTGTTTTATTGTAAGGTGATTTATCCTTTACATCTAACAACTGAGATAATATCAACTTCTGAAGATACAGCGACAAACAAGTCAACATTATCCATATCACGTGAAAACAAAGTCTCAGGTACCGTTATTAAATTTGATTTGTATCTCTATTTATGTACAAGTAGACTTTACCTAACTGTTATCAAAATTCACTGTACAATACGACTGCACTAGCATTTGTTTTTTTTTTTGGTTGTAAAGGACACATACACATATGTCTTTTAGGTTATTTTGTGTTTTTTGTTGGTGTTTAACATATATCCCATAACTAGTTTTATTCAAATATACTAAAATGAATCTGATAAATTACCATGATTTATTGATGAAAATAATCTGTGTTCAGCATCTTTTTATGAATATTTTTTATACTAAACAATTTTGGGGAGGTGGGGGATACTACTGAATACGTAATGTGTGCTTCTGATATATACAATGTATTTATGAATACAAATGTGAGGTCAAAGTGGAACAGAATTTCGACGACGAAAAACAAGACATATCTAGGTCAATATACGATTGTAGACAAATATCTAGATAATATGTCAAGCTCTAAATCGCTCCGAGTGTAGAAAAGCTTGGAAAATACAAAGAAAATCAAAGATTTGCGAAGTTACTTTTTATTTACTATTTCGTCTAGATGTACAAGGGCTGACAACTACTGGCTTTATTACAACAGTTGACGTGATGGAGTCTTCAAACCCATCCACATTCGAGATGACAACAAAACATAATGAATCCATGCCAGACAGAGTAGCGGCTGTTGGTGATGTAAAACGCATAGGGCCAACAGCATTACCACCAGGTAAAAATAAAGTGTAGCAACCGTAAATCATGTGATCAGGACACGTCTTACAGAAACGACAGAGAAAAAAGTCCAAAATCGTAAAAATAACCCAGAAATACTTTTACAAAAAATATATATATAATTTGAACGGAATCATTGTAACACATAATCGATGGTCAAGACGCCTCGATATTTTGGTGAACGTTAAAGATTCGATGAACAGTATACATTATTGAAAATTAAGTCATTATACAAGGTCCCTTGATGTTAAAAATGTACATAATGAAACATCCTTTTTCAGGCGAAAACATATTCTAGAATTCAACTAGTTTTACTCAAGTCAGATTGAATGTTATTTGCTTTCTTTTTTCTATTTAGTTTTGCATGTTTTAGGTTCTACTCTGGCTGCTTCCGCCTCTAGCAATAAATCAACAGAAAAATGCGCATATGTAGATCCAAGTTTTTGCATGCTTCTCCAGTATGTTATGAACCGAACAATATCACCTAGTACACCGCAAACAACCAGTCCATCAACTAATACCACGACTGTATTTATTGCAGCGGAAACTGAAAATGGTGGCAAAACTGCGCAATCGTATAACAACAAAACAGCTGCTGTCACATTTCCGAGAACAACAAAACTCATTAAAACAACACCGGTTAACTTTGTTTCGTTGGCAACAGTTTCGAACAGTACTTTGAAATCTACGACCAATGACTTCTTGGGCCTCCTAATGCATGTTATAGATAAAAGCAACTTAAACATCTCGCTAACAGATATATCGCCAACGTTTAAAACAGTAAGTATAAAATATGTACTAATCAAAGTTATAAGCATTTAATCTACATCCAAATTGTCATGGAAGTAAATAAAGATTACAATTTCAACTTTATATATTGGAAAAAAGTACAACACGAAAGTTATAACACGTTTTCGTTTAGAGTACTATGACTTATCAAAAAATCATAATGTTATTGTTTGTGATCGACTAAATTTCTTTTCCCTTGATCTAGAACTGTTGATGATCAACAAATCATAATGTTGTTGTTTGTGATCGACTAAATTTCTGTTCCCTTGATCTAGAACTGTCGTTGAACAACAAATCATAATGTCATTGTTGGTGATCGACCAAATATCTTTTCCCTTGATCTAGAACTGTCGATGATCAACAAATTAAAAATTAATAACATTTCAGATTATTGATAACAGACTACAATGTGGTTACAAAGCTCGTTGTCGACATCAACATTATTTTGAATCAGTAGTCCACAACTCCGACAATAAAGTACTTTACTCTTTGATTTTGATACAGATACCCAGCAGAAGTCCATTACTAGGACTTCCAATACTAGTGACAGTTTGACGTGCCTTAATAAAATGATGAATTAATATGTAGCGGCATGTCGACGTACTCTAAATATGCTTATTGTAATATATTGTAATGTATTGTAATATAGGTCTTTCTTCGAAACAAAATTTTAAACGATCTCGTAAAAATATAACGAAGAATTAGAGCAATGTGTGTGTAAATGAAGCCGTGAGATATTGGACAATGTATTTCACGTCAAACAAACTTCTTTGTGCATGTACTTCATATTCGACTTAGTATTTTTAAAAGAGAGTGAAATGCCCATCGATAAATAAAGGGGGACAGTAATACAATGATAAAATTATTCCATTACATAATGCGATCTCGAATGCAATTATCTTTCTCTATACATGTATATGATATTCAGGATATATGTAAACGAGGCAGTAGACCATCAATACAAATAAAAAAAAGACTTGTTAATTAATAAACACAATTTTCATTTCAATTGTAATAAGATTTTCCTTAAAATTCACAATAAAAAAAAAAATTTGACTGTTTCAATCTTAAATTTTGTATTACTTTCAATGTGAAAATAAAAAAATAAAACAACGATTAGAAAAATGACCGCAAGTACAAAAACGCTTGCGGTGAAGAAGAAAAACACAGTCAAAGTGTTTTAAGTTATCAAAAGGGAATTCCACTTGTTGAAAGTCACAAATGATGGCCAAAATATATCATGAAACAATTACAATATTCCATTTTACTTCTCTGGTTAGTGTACCATGAAATAATATATTTTAATTCTAACAAAGTAGTAATTCGGGATAAGAAATATCTACATTGATAAGTTTTACAATGCATTTAAAATATCCATTGCAGGAGTATTATATGATTAGAAATCATCGCTCGTTGTTGGAAGTTCAGTTTCGTCACTTTTCGTTCTTGTCATGAGAAGATATTTAAGGGGTTTCTATTGTTTACCTCATAACATCAAATGTTGGACACATTTCAACGCAACCCGAGAACGAGTGGCTCATTTTCTTCTAGCAATATTTAGCATGTTAGATGTTGTACTTTCAATGGTATTTATAAAACAAGTGCAAAATTTTAAAAGTTAAGTATAAATATGTTAAATCATTCATCTTCAAAACAAAATTTCAGAAGATAATTGGAAATATCAGAGAATAATGATATAATAAAAAAAAAAGAAGAAAAACCAACACATCTTGATTAAAAGTCAAACTGACCTCTAAAATTCTTTGATACAGCACTGAAACATCTCAAAATGTCCGAATAGAGTACGTGTTTAAACGCGTACTGGACATAATTTTTATATTTTTATTCGGGCTTACTACATTTTATCAAACGTTAGTGAACCATTGTAATCCGTGGCTTCATTACATGCTTAATGCAAAATAAATTGCATTAATTTTTTAATTCTCTTGTACAAAGTTTGTCGTGCGGTGATGCTTGAACAGTGTAAATTACATTGTCATAGTTTTATGACATTTTCTTAGAACACCAAAAGACTATTTACTATACTATTGTGACTGTTTCGTTCTGATTCAAAACTAAATAGATTTAGAAAAAGTGCTTTTGCAACCGCTGAGAAAAAGTTGAGTGTATATAAATTTAGTAAACATTGCGACAGATACGAAGACAAAACTGCTTTTGTATATAATTTCACAATAATTTTATTGGTCAATTGCAATATTTGTATTTGCAACTGAAAAATACGACCTCTCCCACAAATATATTGATATTTTTGCATAAAGCGTCTGCGGCTCTTTCCACAAAAAAATACTCGTAAGTCATACCCATTTCAGTATAACTTATGATCAATTTTAATCGTAAGATTTTTTGTGAAAAGAGTCGCTGTCTTGTTATATACATATTGTTATTCTAAATTTAAGGTTGTTGAAGAAGTAAATTCCCATAATAGTACAAACGTGGAAATAGCCACTGTCAATTCAATTCTTACTCAGTTAGATATGCTGACGAATGGGACGACTGAGTTTGGAATCCAAGAATTGAGTAATATTCTACTCAGTGTGTCAGAATGGAAAACTTCTAACATAGCAACAATTGAGGTATTTTATTCATTTCAGCATATACAATCTTTTACATTGATTTATGCTGAGTTTATTCATTGACAAAAATTAATATAAGGCAAATAAAATACTTGTTTTTAAATATCCTAAGTAAATTATTGGACTAATTATTTAAATAGCCTTAACTACCATAACTGAAATTATTGCAATGCACCGAATCTAGAAATCATAAATATCGATCTCCTTTCTATATATATTATACATTTCTATTGTGATTATGCATATATATCAGAAATTTTCCTCGGCACTTATTTCATTGCCGCATACTAAGTATGTGAGTTAAAATATGTATATGTTTGAGTTATGTGAATAAACTGTAATATTGAAAGCAACACAGATTTTCATTAGTAAATACTTATTTCAGTTACTTTGAGGTTTTATCGAAGAGTAAATCTCAAAACTGTGTAACAATCAATATGTTTGAATGAAATAAACAGAGACAATTACAACTTTTACTTAGAACTATGTTACCCTTCTTGCTCTAACCTGTGTAAAGCTTTAAACATATACATCAAAACACTTGCCCCTAACACCAACTGTATATTTCTCAATATTTTTTTCAATTACATCTTAAATAATCTGCTGCCAAATATTTTTATACCGTCTTACCTGTTTTCCTCACATATATTTCATATGAAAAATCAAGAGACACGTTTCTCACATTTTTTAAATGTTTCTAATACGAATATAAGCAAAAGGACTTATGCTTATTTTCCCATAAATCTGATGTAATGACAGTTTGCGATTAACAAAGACAATTTTTGTCTCTCATATCAACTTAGATGTCTTAATGCAACATTATTCAAAATAAATCATTATTAAAAATAAATCATAATTACAAAAATCTCAAAAACTATTCACATGTATTCCTTCATTTTTCAGAAAAGTGCAAGTGTTATTTCAAAACTCATAGAAACAGTGAGCAACAATGCCAGTATAGCAACAACAGGGGAAGTAGAGGTAAAGTCAATCACTTTTTGATACATCAATAAATTCTGTATATCATGTATATGTAGCAATATACCATTGGAAATGGTCAAAACCAAATAAGTATTGCTTCTAAATGAGATGGTTTTGCTGGATAAATTAATATGTTCCAGTAACTTTTATTTATTAATGGTTCTAAAGGGATATCTACTTGAAATTGAAATAAAACCCACATTTCTGAAAACTAAAAACAAATACTAGTATTCTAAAAAGTAAAATAACAAAAATACCGAACTCCGAGGAAAATTCAAAACGAAATGCCCCTTATCAAAATGAAAATCAAAAGCTCAAGCACATCAAACGAATGGAAAACAACTGTCGTATTCATGACTTGGTACAGGGTTACCAATTCAACATTGTAATTAGATCTTTGAATATTGTTTTTATTAGTAGAAATATTAATGTTGTTGTCAGTAAATTAAAACCCATAATAAATATTATTGTTATACACATATGCACTTTCAAGATCCTACAATCTGCCGATACCTATATTTTGGCATTACACAAGGTCACGTTTTACTCTGACTGTTATGACGTCTTTCCACTAAATCCATTGGATGTTGGATGTGTACTGATTGATATTTAGTCTTAGATACATGATTTTTTTATATTAGTTGTTATTTGAAGTAGCTGTCAGTAACTGCGAGTACTCTCAGATCTGTACTTGGTGTCTTTTTTAGTTGTTACATGTAGGGATGTATACTTCCAGTCTTTGTTTTTGTTATATGTTTTTTTCTGCATTGTATCGATTTGACGAGTTAAACTCTTTTCAACTGATTTTTATAGTTTGCTTTTATGTTGTGCTGTAACACCACTGTCCCAGGTTAAGGGGAGGGTGGAGTGCTCACAAACATGTTTAACGCCACCTCATTCTTTTATGTGCCTGTCTCAAATCAGGAGCTTGTAGTTCAGTGGTTGTCGTTGTTCCATGTCTGTCTTATTTGTTTTTTGTAAATAGTGTTGTGATAAATTACTAATAGACCGTTAGTTTTCTCAATTGAATTGATTCATAATTTTCATGTCGGGGCCTTTTATAACCGACTATACGGTACAGGTTTTTCTAGTTGATGAAGGCCGTATGAAGTCAGATAGTTTTTTTTTCCTTTTCTTCCGTTGGTCTCTGATGGATATTGTTTCATTAGCAATCATATTATTTCTCTCAATTTTCATAATGATAGAAAATACATACGAGTATTGTTAGAGAAGGAAGAAAAATGTTTTGTAAAACGGCACACAACTTTGAAATGGATCAATGAAAATTTACGGACAATTGATATCTTTACGTTATTTGATAAAATGCCAAAGTCACGGCAGTTAAAATGAGAAGTATAGGACTGGTATACAAATAGAAAAAGTCATGGAAGTAAATACAATCAGACTTACATGAACTCCAAACATAATTAGGCCAGTAGTGAAGACATACATGTACATATAGTGAGCATTTCCCGGCAAGATCTCTTCACAGAGAGCAGGGCTGTTCCTCTACGTACTTATAAATCATGTTGTAAATTCACACTTATTTTATATCTATTTTCCCAAAAGTGTTCCAAACTCGAAAGAGTATTTCTTACATAATGATATTAACATGGAGGCAGATATCTTTGGTACTTATAACAGAATATATATAAAAAAGAATTCTTTTGTGGAATTTATATATACCTTAGACCCTTAACAGGCTAAAATTTTATTTGGAAATTTACTGTGGTCTCCATTTCAATTCTGATGTATAACAAGCCTGCGAATTTGTACTTAAAATATAGTTTCTTTAAGTCTATAAGGTTAAATTCATTTATCTGGTTTTATTTCAGAATGCAATGCAAAACATTTTATTAACGATGCAAAACATTGTAACATCATCCATGACCACAACTGTCTCTATTACATCATCAGCAGTCGGTAGGTTTATTGATAATGATGAGTAATAAAAAAAAAAAACATTTTGAAATTTGAAGCTCTCTAAATAAATGTTCGTCTGCAAAAAAGTAAAAAGACAGCCCACACTATTGAAAAAAAAGAAAACGGTCTACCAAAGGCTAACAAAATCTTCGAGTAAAGAAGGAAACGCACTCGGGGATATACATACACGAGTGGACGAGGAAATGCAGTCAGGATTGTGGCTACTTTTGACAAAGATTTCCCGTAACGGTCAACCATTTCAAGATCTCATACGTTAAACTTTCTAATTGATGGTATCAACTTGTAGAAAGCAATAGATTGCAGTCTTGTACAACTATCGTATGAACCAACTATCTATCATTTGTATATACTAATGAATAGAAATAACTAACAACATATATACATATTAAAATGAAGAAACAAACGGGAATATTATACAAAAAAGCAAATAGATACAAGAGGACATTTAGTCCGTTAGCCTTCAAGGAAAAATACGTGTATTTGTTAAATTGAAAATGGCGGTATACTTGTTATAGTTTTGTTTGAAATACTGATATAAACATGATTCAACATAATCAGAACTTTGTGGTGTACTTCTCTTTTTGCATATGAATAAAAAACTATTTACGTTTTTTTGATAGATATATCAACTAAAACTGTTGAAGAAAACATTACGTCAAGCGTTGAAGTTTTTACATCAGGTGGAAATATTGTTCTTTCTCATCAGTTGTTCATCAACAGAATAGGTATATATTGCCAAATTAATTAAACTTACTACCACCATTTATGAACCGCTAGGTTATAATTTTGAATATCGTATTAATCATATTCAAACCCTTAGTTTAAACATCAGGCGAGCTCCGGCCCATGCTTTGAAAACTAGCCATGCCAGAAATTATGTCCAGGTTGATAGTAGCGTAATAAACCTTATATATATGTACAAGGCAGTTAGGATCAACGATTTAATCTTTTTACAAGGTTCACAAGGAATCTACACCAATCTGAACACAAACCATTCTCTATTCGATGTTTATTGTTTTATTTTCTAGAATAGATTTTGTAGATAGCATCTTCTGCGTCTCTTTCAAAGTGCAATGTATTACAGCAATAATCACGCTTTCTTATTGATTGTTTTACATTTGAAATTTCAATATAGTACAATTCTTGTTTTTTTTTTACATTATATTTATCCGATTGAAAAATGAATAGAATGATAAAATCATTGAACTCTGATACTTAACATCGTGTAGCGTGTAGCATTTAAATAAAGGACGAGAAGTTAATATTTATCAATTTATATTTTTCATTTATTGCACAATCAGTAAACAAATTTGTATCTTCTATTTTAGTTAGAATATCAACAGTTGTTTTTCAAGAAACAGTTGGTGAGAATTTGGGAGGATCTAACAATTTTGGAGGGGCAGAAGTCAGTAGTAATGTTGTTGCTGTGTCTCTTGAAGACTTAAATAAAACATCTCCAAGTGCAATAGCAGTCAATGAAACCGGGGCTATAATCATAACATTACCTACAGAAATCCGAAGGGTTAAGTAAAATAAAAGTGTGCTAATCTGTTAATTACACGTAACAGTCAGTTAAGGTTAATAGTTTAAAACAAGTTTAAAATAATAAATTTTTCTATTGCTCTCCGCAAGATAATTCACAAGGTAGAAATATCCCCATAATTTCCAACTTGAAAATCTTAGAAATTCGATTCATGAATTTATGGATAAAAAGGTTTGATGAAATATTTTGAAATACGGTTAACGCAGTATGAGCCTTTTTCGTCGTTGAAATATTGCAGTACTTCTGAAATTGTCCTCAAATTCTGTAGTACTGACACACGATCGCGATGCTAAATTTGTTAAACTTGTCTCAGCCAGAGATAGCAAAACCTAGTGGGATTCTTATACGTGTGTAGCTCACTAAATTACATGCTTAGTATCTAGAATGAACTATAAAATTATAATTATGATTATGAAACATAATAAACACCATGTTCTGGTTTAGGTTGTGCAAAATGCTGAACAAAATATATAGTTTGAATTTTGTTTTAAAAAAGACAATTTCTTGTTTTTGACTTAAATATCTTTGTAGTTTATGTATTTTGAGACGCTTTGCTATTTGATTTCAAAGCTATACGTTAGTTTGGTCCTTCATAGAATACACAGACTAATATTCATTCTTTTAAGTTTTTGTGCTTCGATGTATAATTAGAATGTTCTTTTTCAGAGAGAGAAAAGGCGTATATGTACCTACTGGGACTTTGATCAAAAGTAAATTTGTATTGTAAAGTAGATTTTTATGTTGTTTTATTTTGGTACCCCTAGTATTTCATCCCAATACACGTAAATTGTAAAATAAAACTGTAGCATATGAGGCCAAACAAAAATCCAACCTACCAGTCTGTAACACTGTATAACAACAACAAGTACTTCCATATTTTACATACGAATCTACTTTTTGATATTCCGAATTAGACTTATTGCCGGGTCTGTACTTGCATGAGCAACAAGACGGGTGTTGTTTATTCTGGTTACAGTCTTGTAATCCTTTTTCATGAAAAAATTGTTTCAATTTTAAATTTGACATTCGGTCACGTTTCAGGGTTGGAAAATATACATGACCGATGGCTTACGAATTTGATGATGTCTTAGGGGTAGATAAAAAAAAACTAAATTATGAAAAAAAATTAGTAATAAACTGCAACGCAATACAGAGTTCTATAAGTATCACAAGTACAAAATGTTAAATATTACACAGATTATAAGGCGACTACTAAAACAAAAGTACACAATTAATAAATAAATTGAAAAATATAAGATGAGGAGTAATGGGCGTCCTTACAAAGTCGGTTCACATGTTCAATGGAATTTTTTTATATAACTTGCTTTATGACTACAATATACAAGAAAACAAATCTTTGAATAACGGTACACATAGTGCTGCTTGTCCTAAATCCTTCGAACATTCGTTAAAAGTATTCTTGATATTATTAGTGTGAAAGTGACTGTGAGCACCAATTTAAAAAAAATCAATCATTCCATCAAATATTATACAAAAAGACTGTTTTCAAATGTTAGTGAAAGTGAAGGGCATGTATGTGTTGATACGAAAAAATAACTTTTTCCAAAACATATAATATCAGAAGTCATCATCTAGAGTATATTCACAAGGCCGATTGCATCAAGTTATATGTAGATTGTCTCAACATTAACGTTAAGGGCCTGTATTTTTTAGCTGAATTTTCAATAATTTTGTAGAGATTGGGCTTCGGATGTAGGAATAATATTAGATCAGAATGATACCTACACAACATGTATGTTTGACCATCTGACTAACTTTGCTGTTCTTGTTCTGTATTTTGATGATGAAAATGAGGTACTTTTACACATTTTAATGTATAATGTTATTCAATGATATCAAAATCTCTCAGCAATAATTAAATGAAAGATCATGGTCAAAATTTTAACTTGTTTCTGTAAATCAATCAACAACTGGAGTAATGAAACAGCTCTTAAATGGTGTAAACTTCCCGTAAAAGATGTATGGTATATATGTACTGTGATATGATGTAAAATTGTATGGTGCAATGGGAATAAAGTATAATGCATAAGGAAATTTGTATGTATTTGAAGGGGCAGTTCGTTTTATAAAAGATATGGAATAGGATCCCAGTTACCCAATCCACCATTTTCTACATTTGAAAATGCCTGTACCAAGTCAGGAATATGACAGTTGTTGTCCATTCGTTTGATGTGTTTTGTCATTTGATTTTGCCATGTAATTAGGGACGTTCAGATTGAATTTTCCTCGGAGTTCGGTGTTTTTGTGATTTTACTTTTTACAGGATATCAGTCCAGTACCCACGAATGAAGTCCCTTAATAAATCTACCATCTTTTAAATGGGATATTGTACCGAGATGAAAACTATGTAAAGATGCTTAAATTTGTAGCATATCAAAAGGGTATTCATTAAACTTTCAACTTCTGTTAAATTCTCTGTGATTCTGAAATGTTTAAGGTGGATGATTGTCAAAATTTTCTTCTCGATTTTAACCAGAAAATTAATAAAATGACCCTATTAACACTAAAAAAAAGTATTGCTCTCTTAAATGCCGGTCATGACCCTCCAAGAATTCTCCTAGAAACCATGAAATGGGCTACTAGTATGAGAAAGTAACTGAAATTTTGCAGTCTAATATAGGGAATAAAAAATCTGCGCCTCAATTTGGATAAAATTGCATTGAAGTAATGGGGGAAATATTTGGGTCCCCGTTCCATATATTGAAATTTGCATAGTGTAATGGTGTATGTTGTAAGAGGAAGTTTACACCATTAAAAGGACTTTAGTTGCTTCAAATGGGTAAATTAACAAAGCCACCACCTTACGTTGTTTCTGTCCGGTTGCGCTGTGGCGAAAGCTGTAATCTAATGGCGAAAATTAAGCTTCTATATCGATAAAATTAATTAATATTTGATATAACCTTGACCTAGAATCTAAGACCAAATTTCTAAACAATTTGAGAGCAAATTTCACATCATAAATTGTGTGCAACTGATGCGCTTCATTTCTGGATTTCAGAAATGAAGTAACGAAATCATTTGAAAGACCTACGTTTAGAGGTGATCAATTTTTGCAGTTGCAATATATTGTTTGTATATTTCCATGTAAGAAGCAGATACTAATTTATTATATATATGGCAGATTTTATCTCATTACTATGCATATTAAAATGCACTATTTTTTCAACTTATTTTAGTAGCCATTTTCTGAAATATTGACTTCTCAAAACGAGCAAAGATAGAGTTTAATTAATGGTATAAAACTATCTAAGATATTCTCATCTGTAGTCCCATACAACTAAATAAATTTGAACATAAAAAGTCATTTAAACCAAATGATAACTGTCAAATATTAATGTTTTCAGGTATCCATTAACCAAGAAAATATTCTAATGATTATGACAACAATTGGATGCAGCATCTCAATAACATGCTTGGGAATGACCGTTGTAGCATTTGTATACTTAAAGTAGGTGTTGATTTTTAAGTATTATAAATGTACTATTACTAGAATACAACGTTCGGTTCAAATACGCATTTTTGAGAAGGGAATAAATCACATGGATAACTATATTTCAAAGGAATAACCAAAATCATCTAAGTATACTTTACTTGATTATGATTCATTGGACAATTATGATTTGATAAATATTTGAATAAATCGCCTAAGATGGCAGTTTTGGCCCTTCATGTAAGCCATGGTGTTGATAGTAATTAGTATGCATGTAAAAGTACAATTGTATATGTTTCTGCAATAATAATCCAACAATGTTATGAAGAATTGCATGCAGCACATTGAATTTGATCGGATGAGATTAGTCTTAGTTGGACAGTAATAAAATCTACACTGAAAATGACAGGACAACCTTAAAATCCTATATTTTAAGATATCTCATCGATGTAAATGAAATATAAAAGGAACATTTAAAACAAGGTTGAAAAATGTTTGTTGGTGTTTTTTTATTGACTAATATTCACATTTACTTTTATTCATATTCTTAAAACTTAATGAAATTATATTTTTTATCGTTGATGTCATCTATCATCTTAATGTTTTTATTTCAATACAACGGGTATCATAAGTTGAGCTTCAACTGCCTATCATTACCCGGCTTTTAGTTGGGTTGTGTTGCCCAATCTGTTTTTTGTTTTCTCTTGTAAATGTTACGCTAACGATCTATGTACTTATTATTTGATGTCACTGGTATATTTCTTATTTTCTTGATTTAGGATTTCAAATGTCTTTGAATCAAAAATCGAACGAATATAATACCTCCTGGTATAGCATTATATAAATTTCACTACTGGCAGATTAATCTTACTAGATACAAATATTCCTTTTTGGAAGTTCCTACCGTCTTGATATTGCTATTCTTCTGTTGTATATTTATGACTAAACTTTTCGCCTTATGTTCTTTTTTTTAGACTAATGTGCAAAGAGACCATTCTTATTCATGGAAATTTATCTTTTGCGTTACTTATTGGACAGCTTGTCCTGGTAGCATCTAACGACGCTATTGAAAATACGGTATGCACTTCATTAAATCCTAATTTAGTTATCTGCAAACATATTATATGAAGATATTACAAAAGTTATCTGTCGAATACTTTTATCATCTTTCGACTGTTCAAGCTAATGTTAAATGAACGATTTTGATTTATATGTAGAATATTGATAAATATCAAAATTAGGAAAAGTGCTATGATTCATAACGTATAGTCAGCTAAAAAAATCAACAAAATAGCCCAATGTTTAATAATTTAAACGAGAAAAACCAACAACCTGATTTATGAGGAGAGATAAAATAACAATGAACGGTGAACAAATATGACAGAAAGCAACTAACGACAGCTACTGAATTACAGGATCCTGACTTTACACAGACACAGTTCAACAAAGGAACAAACTGTAAAATGTAGTTTGCATGGCTTGACTAATAAGCTTGGCACAAAAAGCAACTACCATACATACAAAACAACAACAAAAACAGAAAAAGTAATTGCAGAACCTGAAATCTAGTACAAATCCAATTGCAACTAATAAATAAATAATTTTTTCTCATACTAAAGTATCAACTCGTACACATCCAACGGAGTAAGTGTAAAGGCGTCATAAACAGTATGAGTAAAGCACGTCCTTGTGAAATGCCAAAATTATAAGTTTATAGTGTCGGTAGGATGTTACACCATACATTTTCTTAACCGTATAGCAAGACGTTGGTTATGGTAAGGTTTTTAATTTATCATAAACAATATCAATGTCAGTACCAATAAAAAATATATTCAAAAATTCCAACAGAACCTTTAAGAATATGTTATTCAAATGATCAATGAGTTTACTATGATCGAATCTAACGTAAAATTAGAATTTGAAGACAATCTTAGAGGGGAAATTATCTTGGCCAAACTTAAAAAATATATAGATAATTATTTGCTTAAGCCTGATCAACATGATTTGCACGTTTAAAGTGATAAAGAAAAATATCAGACCATCAGTAATGATGAAATGAATATTTTCTAATCTTTGTATTCATTTTTTAATCAGGTAGCCTGTAAGGTGGTTGCAATGGTTATGCATTACTTTTTCTTGTCTTCTTTCTCTTGGATGATGGTGGAGGGAATTGCATTATATCTTTCCTGTACACGTGGCCTATATAGTCATGGTAATATGAAAATGAAATATTGCGCTGGTGGCTGGGGAATTCCACTTGTGATCGTAATTGTGTCTATAGGTGCAGAATTCCCAAAGTATGGCACAGGCGAACGACATAGGTATTGAATTCATTATAAAAATAAGAAAAATTGTGATATGTTTGCTAATGAGACAACTCCCCACCAGAGACCACAGTTATAGGTTACCGTACGGCTTCAACAATGAGCAATACCCATACCGCATAGTCGGCTATAAAAGGTCCCGAAATGACAAATTCAAACGAGAAAACTAACGGCTTGATTTATATACAAAACAATGAACGAACAACAAATATGATATACAGCAACAAAAGAAAACCACTAAATTGCAGGCTCCTGACTTTAGACAGGCACATACAATATGTGGCGGGGTAAACTAGTTTGTTGGCGCCAAATTCTCCTCTAACCTGGGACAGTGATGTAACAGTATAATATAAGAACAACTTATAAAAATCAGTTGAAAAGAGTTTAACTCATAAGTAGATTTTTTATGTTAATTTTTATTTAACCTTTCAAATCATAATATAATTTCCGATCATCTACATGAGAAATATGCAAAGTATATGTTTATTTGACAAGTATGAGAAAAAAAACTAATATGATAATTTCTATCATAGTAAAAACAGTTCCAGTAAATGACTACTGTTGTTATCTTTTAGTTGCTGGTTATCTACAGAAGATGGACTGATATGGGCTTTCATGGGACCAATGCTGATAATTATCATGGTATTCTATCTAAAACTTTCACTATACTAAAACTCTTATATATTTACTTTTATGAATTGCATCATGATTCTTACATGGAATGTTTTTAGTTCTTCTCTTCTGTTCAATTAATCTACAATTGAGGAAAATCTTAAATTGTACATACCAATTTTCAATTTTCCATTAGTGCGAAGGCTTTTAGCTTAGAAAAATAGCTGGGCAATATATACCTGTCGAGATAACTCACGACCCAAACTTTACATATTAATGGGATAAAACCTGACGTGTGTAATCATACAGTAAGCTATCTATAGCGTTTGTCAGTTTCTTGGGATAGGTATATGTCTTACATAGACACATAATGTAGCTCGTTTACTAAAACCTTTCATTTTTTCTTTTTTAGATATTTGTCTTTTCATTTAATTGATGGACAAGATTTTGAGTCCACCTCTGTTTTTGAAATTGCCTTATTGTGCTCTGTTTCTGCCTGTCTGTCCCATATCAGGAACCTCTAAGGAGTAGGCGCGGTACGACCCCTTTTTGGCCCTAAATATAGCATTTTTACAAATTTATTGAAAATGTAAACTTTTAGCTCTTTATTAGAAAGTAGAATACTTTTGTTCCATAAATATGGGATGTTTTTGACAATACAATGCACATGCATCAGGTAATAGCATCATAAACTCATGCCAAAAAAGGAAAATCACAAAAATACTGTACTCCGAGGAAAATTCAAAAAGGTAAGTCCCTAATCAAATGGCAAAATCAAAAGCTCAAACATATCAAACGAATTGATAACAACTGTCATATTCCTGACTTGGTACAGGCATTTTCCTATGTAGAAAATGGTGGATTGAACCTGGTTTTATGGCTAGCTAAACCTCTCACTTGTATGACAGTCGCATCAAATTCCATTATATTTACAACGATGCGTGAACAAAACAAACAGACACAATAGGTAAAAATGTCAAAAAATAGGGGTACAGCAGTCAAACATTGTGTTATCATCTTAATCACTATAAAACAAACAAATGTAACAAAGAAGTACAAAAAGGCATACATCAAATTTAACATCCTCATTTTGCATTTTTATTATACGATTTTATTTATCTATGTAAAATCTACCCATAAAGGATGGAAGATTTTAAGTACTAGCGTAGAATCGCGCGTTTGACGTCACACAGGTAGATATAAAATAATTTTGTCGTTCAAAGTATGACAGGATACATAAGTACCGAGTCACGTCAAATGGATATCACAAAAAACAGACTTAACAGTAAAAGTAATATTAATAAAATAAAATAATTATGTCGTTCAAAGTATGACGGGATACATAAGTACAGAGTCACGTAAATGGACATCACAAAAAACAGACTTAACAGTAAAAGTAATATTAATTAAGACAAATAAAAGAATACTATAACACGTTATTAAGATGATAAACAACGTCAGTACGCAGAATCTATACTTCAAGACCATCGTGTATTATTTGTAAAGTTGATACGGAATATTTATCAATAAGGTCTTTGTACCTTCCGATGAACTTTTAAAAAAAAAAGGACGAGACGTTTTTTGACATACCCCTGGTTCATCAACTTTCTGCTCAGACACTGGTGACGTTTTACAAAATCTGAGTGAGAGCTGAAAGCTCTCGAATATCGAATAAGTTGGGAAATGTATATCCCATATGCAGGTGAAGTTGGTATATTGCTACTAAGGTGGGGGGGAATTGATAATTTTAAAATTAAAATCGTCTCGTTTGTCATAGATTCTGGTACTGAGATGACTGTGTATGTCAAATTCGAGGTATAAGTCTAAAAATAAGGTGGAAGAAGCCGTGTCTGCTGTTTCTTTATTTATAGTTCTTGGGGATATATTAATGGAACCAAACCAGAAAGGTTCGGATTGTTAATGGAAAGAACATCATCAATATATCTGAAAGTGAAATTAAATAACCTGGCTTCTTTGGTCTTCTTGTTTTTGACAAGTGTCTGAAGGAACTCCGATTCATATAAAAATAGGAAGAGGTGGGCAAGGAGAGGCGCACAATTCGTTCCCATAGGAATGCCGACAATTTGTTGAAAAAGTCTACCTCCAAATTCAACAAATATGTTGTCAATAAGAATCTCCAGCAAACTGATCACTTGTTCCTGTGTGTAGCATGTTTTACCCTTTGTTTACTATTAACAAAATATGCCTTATGGTATAAACAACTGAAATCTTCACAATTGTAGCATTTGTGCTAATTTTAAGACGTTTTTTTTTTAAATGGAGGTGGCCGCATTTGTGTTCATTCTTAATATATAAATATATGTTGTATTTGATGATAATACATAACATATATAAAGGTTGAGACCGAACAAGAGTGCGGCCACTTCCATTTTAGACAAAAACCATCTGAAAAGTAACGTTTTATGGCATACTTGATAGATTTTTCATATTTAAGCTTAAATATGAGCGTCTTTAATGACCAAATCAGTTCAAATCTTTTACATAAGCTAATTGAATCGACTAAAGTTGACATTTAAGTGTTTAAAAAATGTCAAAATCTTTCATCAGATGTTCTTCGAATTTGAGGCCCAAACCGGACGTTCTCCTTTAGTGGTTATCGTTGGTTGATATCTACACTCATTTGTTGTTTTGATTATCGATTTGTACATAAATCAGGCCGATGGTTTTCTTGTATGAACTGGTTTACATTTCGTCATGTCATGGTTTTTAGAACTCACTATACGATAGTGAACTAAAGGTTCTTATCATCTAAGCCATTTGGTCTCAGATGAATTGTTATTTTATTGACAATCATATCACATATTCTTCTTGTTATATGTATGATATTAACTGGGCATGTCATACCAGTGATACGCAAATGCAATAGACTAGAGTTATTAGTAAGTAACTTCAAATGAAATCTTTACTGTTCTCTTAAAATCTTTATATTTGATTCAATTAAGACCTATTATCGCCCTACTTTAAATTGTGTATGTGAAAAATTCAGATGTTACTCTAAAAGGTAACAAGAATTATCAAATATATTGGACAATACAACAGACCGCACTAACCAACAACACCTGACTCCTCTGTAGACTTACTATCTAGTCCTCTGATCTTTTACCTACTTGTCATTGGTATTCGTGAATTCTTCATGTTTAAGGTGTGACACCACTAATTCGGGCCAGGTCAGAAAGAACATTTTAAAAAATAGGACATATTTAAAACAAAATAGTTCCTATGCATGGGTGTAACTTTTAAGATATGTAGAATATTTTTGAAATTTGGGTATCAAACGAAAGGTGCACGACTGCTGATCGTTGTAGAACACTAATAGATTTGAATTATAAAAAAATTGCATGAAATTTAAAAAGGAGGGTACATTGCGCCTGTCTCCAGATCTAAAGTACCTGTTTTGGTACTTCTTAAGTTCCGGGAACCAGTACACTCTTATATGCAATTAAAGGTATGTTGATTTTTTCTGCACAGTACATACTTAGGTAGTGATTTGACATGGAATGGCTATCACTTCTTTTAAATTCAAGACAAAAGAGCTATGCATTTAGGAAATTAAAGATTTTAACATAGAAAGCAACGGGGACAAAAATTAGTGGTGAACTTCCTTAAAAAAAGCCTTCAATAATCGTTCATTTTCTTTTACAGTTCAACATTTTTGTGCTAGGATTGGTAGTGAAAGTTTTTCTATCACTGCAAACTATTTCAAACAAGTCGGAAACTGCTAAAATTAGGTATGTGCAGTTTTACTATTGAATTTACAAGTAAATACAACAAAATATTTTAATTAAGAAGTAACTATATAATTGATCTACTGTCATTGACGAAAACAAAACATATTCAATATCCTTTTTTTCTTGCAATTAGCGTAAATCATGCGCTTAATGTTCAACTGTAATCGACCTGTGCAAATTACGTTATATGCAATGTTCTCCAAATCATATAATTGTTTATAAAATAGTGGACCTAACAGTCTATAAGTTGCACCACTTTACTTGTATCTGTTTAATAATCGAAGTTCCATTATTCAAACGGTTTCACTATTTTATCATTTCAGAGCCAGTATAAGGGCAATGGTGTTTTTGCTTCCACTATTGGGTATAACCTGGCTGTTAGGTGTCCTTGTTCCACTTCATGCGACTTTTCACTACTTGTTTGTTGTTGGAAACTCCCTGCAGGTAGGTCAGTTGGTCCAAATTACGGTACAACATTCTTACAGTGTTCTTATACAAACGTTGCTCTACAACCAAAACACTAAATGCATGGCTTTTAAACGAATGTAATACAGAAACACTTAAATTCAGAATGTTTTGATTCGAACGCCACAAATGAGTCGTTTGGAGAAAAGTGTGTGAGGTGTACCAAATTATAAGCCTGGTTTCTTTAATAAGTGTTGGACACGGAAATCATTTGTTATTCATATCCAGAAAATCAACGCCACTTTGCTTATTTGAATATTATACTAAAGAAATCGGATACGGGTCACGGAAATTATATTGAAATGATAGGGAATTTTGAAAAAAAAATTCTGTTTTAACTTTAATTTAAGTGATAGACAGGTTGCCGGGACACATATATATATACACAACAATATACACCATTTAAACTAAACATAATGACTGTCGTTGCAAAAATCAAGGTTCCTGAGCTATTTTAAAAATCGAAGCGAGAGGCTTTTAACATTGCAGTATAAAATACAGGCTAAAATGGCTGAAACGTCAAATTTGCAAACTTCGTGTTGAAAATTGGCTAACAAGGTCATTACAAAAACAGGTTGCCGGGATGAAACTTGAAACTTGAATGTCCAAAGAATAAGCAAGTCAAAACCTTGTATGTGTAGTCGTTGAACTCTAGGTTCCCACGTAAAGTTAAAATGCCCCTATTTCATGAAGAATAAACTCACGAAAACACGAAAAATTCACTAAATTCGCGTTCATTGTTTTGATTTTGACCGCCTGACAACTTTACGGAAATATCAGAGTGATTATAAACAAGGACTCTGTGACGGGCAACTTATAATATCCGTGTTTTAAAGATTTTGATAATATCAAGCCAGTCCAGTTCAAACTATTATCACGTGGTACAATTCTCATTTACATATTATGAATATTAATTAGCAAAAGTACTACTAATTTCTGGCTATGTGTCGAGCCTGCGACATTATGTCGAGAAAGCGAGATATAGTGATCCTAGATTCCTTCGGTGTAAATCTTTTTTGGACATCAGTAACTCAGTCAAATCTTTATGAATTTTATGATATTTGGACAGAAGCTTTTTTTATGACGGAAACAGATTATCTTGAGCAAAGTTTTAAAAATATTTATTTTCATTTCTCCTATTATACGGATGAATAGACTCAATTTTTAAAAGTTATCCTTTAGATTTATATTGATAGGGTTTGGTTTTGCAGTTTTTATGGACCTCCCCTTTTGAATTTGCCTTGGAGCTCGGCATTTTTATTATACTTTTTAAGATACGATCTTAAGTTAAAGATTTCCAGTCATTGATAACTCTGTCAAACATTCATGGAGTTATATGAAACATGGACAGTACCTTTTTTTATAAACAAAAGACAGTGCCAGAGCAAAATTTTGGGTCCAAGAATTTCAATTTTCCATATTTTACTGATAAATGGACTTAGTTTTGTTACAGTCAACACATAGATACAATCTAAGATTAAAGTTTTTCAGCCATCAATAACTTTGTCAAACTTTCATGTAATTTTAATGAAATTGGACAGAAGCTTTTTTTATTAACAAAAGACAGTATTCAGAGTAAAATTTTGGAAATATTTATTTCTATGTTTCGGTTGTTTACTGATCAACGAACATAGTTTTATACAATTAAACAATGAAAAAAAACACTTAAAATTTCATGCGTTCGAAGCGCTTTTGTGAATTTACTTTCAGCAGGAACGCTCAAAGTCGAAAATTGGAAAAACAATGATATGTAAGAACCGAAACAGGTGAAGAGCTTTATGACCAAAAAAGACATAGCCAAATTCACCTAAGGTTAACTTTGCCTGAGGGAGTTGAAACCTTAGTTTCTTAATAATTTATAAATTCATAAACGGACAATTTAAAAAAGGTTGGTTATAAATCATGTCAGTACCGAAGTACTGACTATTCGTTAATGACTACTGAACTGGTGATACCTTTGTGAACTGATGGTTCACCAGGAGCATTTAGATACAGTCTAAAGATACCAAAGTGACATTCAAAATCAACGATTAAAGTTAACTTCTACAGACAGTCTTGAATTAAATGTTTTTGACATGATACATTTGTAAATCTCATGGATTGTTATGAAACTTGAACAGAAACTAATCTTCAAGATCAAGAAATAACATCTAAATAAAAAGTTTGAATTTTTGTTAATTGTTTATTTTATTAATAAATTGAATCACGTTTTATTGTCAACATTACACTTTTACACTGACAGCATTAGAATACTGATCATTCTAGCTTTTTGTAAAACAAACATCTGCTTGTGAAACCTTTTTTCCGCTATTAATGTTTTGAAAGAAAAAATAATAATATGCGAGTAATAATATAACGAGTCAAAACTATTCTTATTTATATTTCACGAATATGTATTTTAGGGAATGATGATCTTTTTCCTTCACTGTATCTGTAACGATGAAGTAAGTATCGATTAAATTCCAAGATACTTTGTAAATATTTTTTAATTTATGTCTCTGTACTTTTATGATAAAGGTTAATCAATAAACCAATATTCAGTTAAGAAATGTGATACATATATACATATATATATTTATATGCTTGTAGTTCAGTAGTTGTCGTTGGTTCATGTCTGTCATATTTGTTTTTCGTAAACTGTTTTGTTATAAATTAGGCCGTTAGTTTTCTCAATTGAATTGTTTCATATTTTTCATGTCGGGGCCTTTTATAGCCGACCATACTGTATGGGTTTTTCTCATTGTTGAAGGCCGTACGGTTGCCTATAATTGCTTACATCTACTTCATTTGAATTTTGATGGATAGTTGTCTCATTGGCAATCATACCACATCTCCTTATTTTTATATGAACATGTGTTGTCCTATGACTAAGATTGCAAATGCAATTGATAACTAAGGCGATTTCGACTGCTGTACCTGTTAGAACCTTATTTTATTTTTCCTTTTTCAATTTTAAGGAAGACAGACTAGTTTATTTATATGATATATTGTTCTTTATTATATACCTAAAATATATATATTTCGTCTCTACGGCAACTTTATTCTTAAAGTTAAAATCATATTGATAAAAAACACAACAAAGGTTTTTCAACATCCTATTGTACGCACTGTTTATACAACCGCCGTTACTTTGGTAATTGACTTGACATTAAATGAGAGGAGGACGATACCAAAGAGATATTAAAACTCACAAGTCAAAGACAAACTGACGACGCCATGGCAAAAAGCGAAATACGACAAAACAACAGTCTTCAAAACACAACGTAGGTTACTAAAATATGAGCAACACGAACTCCAAAAGAACCGGGGGAGCTCCGGATGGGCAAAGACGTAATGCTTCACATGTTGCACCCATAAAGCCAATCGGTTAAGAGATCAGTACATAATTTAACTTGTGATAATAGGTCTTAATCTTTGTTTGGTCATTTGCAATTGAAGTTTGTACTGTGGGAGTCCCAAACATATGTGCTAAACGTTACCAAACATATGGTTCATGTATTCAATGGATTCATAAATTTTATTATTTAACGTAACAGTGTAGCACAAACATGTATGAATGCACAGGAAACACCAGCAAATAGCAATACCATAAATAACACGATTAATTTAAATTCTTTCGTTTTTCTCTATTATTTGATAATATATTTTAGATCAGAAAGAAATTCCTAGAGAAAAAGAAAAATCTCAGTTCAACACACAGAACATTTGCTGACCCTGATATGACAGTAATAGTTAAAAGAAATAAAAGGGTTGGTAAAATACGCTAATTTATTTAAGGCACAGAGTTAATAAACAAACAGAATAATGCCGTCATATACTGATTAATTATTTCTTGGCAATCTAGTGATATATTTGCTTATTACAATATATGAGTTCAAAACGTTTAATTATTATGATTGTATTCAATATTTTGAGGCTTTTTAATACAAGTCAAGTTTCAGTAAGTGGGCTATGTAACATATTTTAATTTTCAGTTATAGTTCAACGAGCCGAATTTGTATGCGAAGTTTTACTAGAATCTCTGACATAGCCCATTTGCTGTACCTTGATCATAAAATAGATTTTCTTGAACCTTTCAAGTATGTAGTTTCAAAATCGTTGACGGTACCACTGTTTATGGACTGCGATCAAATACAATTAATAATTGTTTTACTCAAATGAAATCGATTATCAACAGAGGTATACATTTCAGTAACACAAAAAATGATAAGTACAGGTATAAATAATGTCGATATATTAGGAACATTCCTGTTTACCTCTATGACTGTTACATTTCATACCAGACTCATAGTAAATAACTGCCAAAGTATTAAGTATACTTTTTTAAATATGGTTTTTTTAATAGAAGCATCTAAAGTGCTTGTTATTTGGGAAAAGGGATGTATTTGTTTTCAACGCATCATTCAAATGAAATTTATTTTTAATTTAACTTCAATATTCGTAATAAACTTTACAAACATAAAATTTGTTTTTTAGTTACCAGGCTAAGTATTGGTTTGGTAATTTGGTTTTCCTTTATTGATTAGATAGATTAAAAGTATATATACAAATATAACGCCTATATTGTATATACAAACGGAAAAAAATATTTTCGTAGACTGACTAAAATCATTTTGAATTTACATTAATTTTTACGTAAAATGATTTTTGCGAGTTTAATCTTCATAAGATTGTTTATATCTCATCTCATGCAAATATAACATAATATTTACGGTTGAAGCTGTTCTCTAGGTTCGAGGCTCAATTATGATTATTTGCGTATGAAGGTTCCCCTACTTTTTGTCTCAAAAGTACATGTGTCGTATGCCCTTAAAGTGGTATCTTGCTTCTACGTTTGGTATAACGGTGTTTAATGATATGGAACACGGAGATTTGGTATGATCGACTGTGAGACTACCATCTACAAGACACATAGGATGCTTTATTAAGCATAGATTTTATCAGTTTGAATAAATATTAGTAAATATTGAACCTATCACAATTTCATCTCAAAATTTGAATTTTGATGAAATCTCAAACAGTAGCTAGTAGAATATTAATCCTAATCATAGAGATATTTTACTTGTATTGATTCCAAATTTTTGTTTGTTTCAGAAAAACATGTTTTCGGATGTTCAGTTGGAGATTCAGAATGCGCCAAGAGGTAAACCGTATATAATTATTATATAGAAATAATTTTTTCAACAAATACACAAAAGTTTAAACACATTATTTTGGTTGTTGGTCTACACAGTACTTGTATTTACATTTTGCATGTAGAGTATAAGTACATGCTCAGAAAAATAACTTCAAAATATTGTGTATGGTTTTAGAGATGAGGTTATCTGTTTAAAGAGTATTTCATTTTATGTTTTGTGTATAAATAATGAATTGTATCCCCAGTCAAAATATCAAATATTGTTGTCATTACAAATGTTTAGTAACTATAATAGCCGGGTTGGGCGTTCTGTTAAGACAACTAGACTGGTGCCTGGAAAACTGTTTCTTACATAATATATTGTATCACTCCACAAAATTAGTTGTTGGTTGGAAATCTTAACTTGACGTCTTTTTTACGCCAAGAATATTATTTTATTAAATTGTATAGATAATAAAATGTGTCTGTATCTATTTCAATGAAGGTAGCATTAAATGAAATAGCTGCTGCAAAACGAATCTAATTTCTGTGGATTATGAAACACAAAAATGCATGTTTTGAAAACAAAAATCTGATAATGTTGTTAAATATCATACAATGATAACAGTACAATACGTAAAAATTACTTATCAAACGTAACCTTATAGTGTATGTTATGTTTACAGATCACAAGTATGCTTGGGTTTCGTAAAAGCTGACTGTCCATCTACTATGCTGTGGTGGTGATTGTATAGAAATGCTGTGCAAAATATTTATCATCGGCATATTCTGCTTGTCTCCCTAATCAATTATTCAGTTATGTGTCAACGTATGTTAAACAGTTAACATATATTTTAACATTTTGCTATATTTTCTGTTGTTAATCCCACTGTAAAGCAATAAAAGTATGATAGCAAAAATTAACAATTGAATGATATGTACTGATGACAAAAGACCGATATGTGAACCAATGGACAGAGATCGAGACCAAGTATTTCGGAAATCTTGAAATGTATTTTTGTTTTGTTTTTTAATATTGTGATGTGTGACCTAAATTTGACTTTCAATGTGTGTGTCGCGGGACCTACGCTTGTAAAACAACATCAGTATAACTTCCTTTTAGAAAAAAAATGTTTATAAATTAAAGCATGTAAAGATTGGAATGTATATATGCGCTCGGAAGATATTTGCTTTTATCGTTTTAAATGTAAGTCAAATTAGAAGAATGTTTTACACTGAAAAAACGTACGGAAACAGAAAAGTACTAATATATACATTCAAAAATGAAACACGACTTTCGCATAGATTTATGTTGCCATATGTTTAATTGTTTCTTTCTAATATTTTCCTTGTAACGAGACACTGCTTTCTAAACGAGGATGATATACTAATACATAAATAATACTAACCGACTCTGCAAAATATGCAGTATCGTCTCCCGAATGAAAATAAAACGGTACTAAAATTACCTAATCGGATGCTCATTTAACAGGAAAAGAACCAGAGCTATGCGCGAGGGATAAAAGGTATTTAATATATAAAGTTTCGTCATTAAAACGTTATATCCCTTTTTTAATCCTGGTAACGAATTACTTATGAAAGATACCCTCGGGTACCTTCAGGACAACGGCAAAGGTCTCGACACAGTCGTAAAGCTAAAATAAAACGCTACCATCTGTTTCTCCACCTGGTGCGAATTAAAAGAAATTTTCTATTCAGTAATGCTCGAGGCAACAAAATTTGAAAAACTGAGAGAAAAAAAGACTAGTAGAAGTGTTGGATCGGTGATCAACAAAAAAAAAAAATGATATTTTCTGAGCTATGCATCAGAGAAATTCATTCCTCAAATTCAAATGATTTCATGTGTTTAATCATCACTGTAAATTTAATTATATACAACAATAAGTACTTTAATAATATTACATGAAAACTATTTGAAAATATCGTAGCAATGTTGTTTTTCAGTTTACCAACCATAATTGCAAAACGACCAGTTTTCAAAACGACATCTCATAACTAAAACCATCAAATGGGAAATAAACACATGCAGTTTTGACGGTAGTATAAATTGTACAGAAGTGTTTAAGGGTTAACTCTTGGTTTCACAGACTATGATTCCAGTCGAAATCAAGTGCATTTTGTGTCCGGGGTTACATTTTGGTAAATGGCACCATCATATAAAAGAGAAAAAAATACTCAATATCTGCATTCAACTACGAAGCATACGGAAGATATTGCCAAACAGTTCAATTCACAATGTTAAATAAACAAGTTCCGCTACTAAAGGTGTTGCAATACGTAAAATGTAATAATCTTTATTGCTCTTTTCTACCAGGAGTCCATGATCGACTCCTGAAAAACGACAAAACATCAGATATTATAATGAGACCAAAGATAACCGTTAATAGTATAATACCAAGTGCACCCACAGCAGCCGATGATGGACGACTGTCAGGTGCAGATATCTTAGTGTTCTTAAAAGCGGAAGTGCCTTTTGGGTCAATTGTTAAATTTCCTCGTAGGTTAGCTAATTCCTCTTCCAAGTAAACTTCAAGTTGTTCCTTTGTCAGGTTTAGACCGTTAAGATAATCCCATTTAGAAGAACCGGATGAACAAGGACAATGGCAATAGGATTCTAAACTGGAACTTTCCGTTTGTGGCACCTCAGTTGATCTCAAAACGTCAATAAAGGTAGAATAATGTTTGGTTGATTCCATTGTTGTTTCAGTAATATATTCGTCGGCCATATTTGTTAGACTGTCTTGTGTAGTTTCAGGTGATAATGTAGTTTTTCTTTCTCTTTCTGTTGTTGTCGATTCTGTAAAAGTGGTGAATATGTTTGAAGATGTTGTTCCTGCACTGGTTTCAGTGTTTGGTAAATGCTTTTCTGTGAACTGATCTGGAAAAAAAAGGGAGGGAAACAATATTTTAAAAATAAACATAATAAAAATATAAAACCGTCGCTTACAATAGCAAATCATTTACCCCTTTTTGTATTCTTTGTTGTCTTTTCAATTTTCATATAAATTCAAACGAACAACAAACAAACTTGATCTGTGTAAAATGAAGGTAAATAAAGGCAACAGTAGTATACCGCTGTTCAATAGTCATAATTCGATTAAGCAAACACAATTCCGGGTAACAAACTAAAACCGAGGGAAACACATCAACTATAAGAGGATAACAAAGGAACAACAGAAACACTAAACTACAACAAAAGTGACATCATTTTAGGATGAATCTTTGTCGGTAAAGATGATACACAAACAGAAACTGTTTTATTCTTCTATGATTTAAAATTGCTTAGATCTAAACCTTAATCCCTTGCCATAAATGCGTAAATGAACGTAACTGTCACTTAGCTGTAGTGTGCGCAATCGCTACTAAACATGATTTAATTATAAGCCATCATGAATAATCATGATGTATGAACTGACAAGCGATCATTACTTTATGAGTTTTAGTTTTATTGATCTTTTCCTTGATATAAAACCTTATCGATGCAGGTGAACAAACGAGCAAACAGACGGAGGAAACGATATATCTCCTTCTTAACTTCATAAAACTAAGATTCACATTACTAACATTTTGAGCAATTATTTTACATTCAATTAATTGATGAAGCCGTTCTTAAAAGAAAAATAAATCACACATTCGACTTTACAATATACAATATACGTAAATATCGACGTAAGCCTGTACATGTATATCAGAAAAGCATATAATTTATAAACTGATAAAAAAATATTCACAAATACAAAATGTCTTTTAAATCGTATTATTCAACCTGTGATAACAAACAGACGTGGATTATTAAAAATTCTAAAGACCTTTCTAAAGTCTGCAATTACAATCTTTAAAAATTTTCAGTATTATCGAAACCGTTGATTTTTCTACGCTTTGCACTATTATCAATTGAAAGATCGACTACCTTGTCTCATTCAACAGAGGTTTTTCTGTTAAAACGAGAAATGTAGATACAAATTCTTTGCTTTAGGTCATGAAAATATTCTGTGAAGAACCACACTGATTTAAAAAACATGAACACCGAAGATGATATAATCAAAATGCTGGATGTTTTGATCGACAACAAACTAGTTGAGCTTGGAGGATAAATATTTCAGCAGGCAGTCGGTATTCCGATTGATACGTATTGCGCAACATTATAGGTCGACTTGTTTTTGTACTTATATAAAACAAAACTCATACAGAAACTTTTGAAAAAGACAAAAAGAAAAAAAAAACATCTTGCAAAGTTCTTTAATTTCACTTTCATACAGATTAATGATGTTCTGTCGCTTAATAACCCCCATTTCAATAATTGCTATCTCATATATTCTAGTAAACTTGAGATTAGAGACACTACCGAAAGTAGAAGGTTCGTTTCTTGTCCTCGACATTGACACAGATGGACAAATTCAAACTAGAAACTATGACCAACAGTAATGATATCAAGTTTCCAAGTTGTCAACTTCCCTTTTCTCAGCAGTAACATTCCCTCTGTTCCATCCTATGGCATTTATATATCTCAGTTAATACGTTAAACTCGTGCATGTTCATACTATATGGACTTCATCAACAGGAGTTTGGTCCTTACACTTAAACACTTCAACATAGGGATTAGGGAGAACGACTGAAATCGACATTACAAAGGTTTTGCGGTCACCATCATGTATTGGTTAACCGATACGATGTGTCACTGTTTCAACTCAAGAGCGACATGTTTTTCCGGTCTTAGATCCCAGTATAGTCGTCTGATTTGTAATTTAACTGAATGTGTCCTATTCACGCTCGCCACATTTTGATTAAGTTTGAATTCGATTGGCGGAAAATGCATGCATAGCACGCTTACCATGTCGACGCACCCGGTGTCGCTCCTTTTGGAGTTCATGCGATTCTATCGCTTTTTGATTGTTAACTTGCTTTTTCTTTTCCTAATCGATTTACGAGATTTGAACATCGGTAAACTACTGTCATTTGAAATATTTATCTTTTTGATGATCTGGGAAATTATAATCCACTTTTTCATTTTCTGTTTTAATTTTTTTTCTAAAGGTTACCATTTAAAGTAGCAATATTTACGAACACCATGAAATTCTTAAGCCATAAATATGCGGTAACTTTATAGCTATTAATCACAAAAAATGTCATTTTTGGACTTTAATGAATTTAATTAGGAGCAAACACCCTATTGTTTTGTCATCTTCTAGAACAGCACTCAATAATTATGCAAGAATATACACTCACGTCACAAGCGATGACTTATATCTTCGTGAAGCATAAATTCTCAAATACGAATAGTAATAATAACTTTATTTTCACTTCAGTATTCGAATTAAATTCATTTCATTTACCTAATGCACTCCATGAGGATTTTTTTATAATCAATAGAATTATTGCAACTTTTACAAGTATCATGTGTAAATCGGTAAGTATTTCTTTTTTGAGTTAATGTGGCAAGGAAGGGGTAATTATCATTATAGAACTATTTGAAATTCCTTACAAAACTGTTATGTTAATATCTACTGAAATGCCATTGTCAAATGAATGAGTAATTGATTAATAATCTAAAAATAGTTGGTTTGATACCAAGACCTAATTGATAAATATTCCGTATCAACTTCACAAATAATACATGATGGTCTTGATGTATAGATTCTAAATATTGACGTTGTTTATCGTCTTAAATACGTGTTATATTGTTCTTTTATTTGTCTTTGTAAATGATTTACCTTTACTGTTTAGTCCATTTTTGGTAATATCCTTTTAGCGTGGCTCGGTACTTATACATCCCGCCATTGTGTTATTGTGATATGGTCTTTTTTTTTTCTTTCATTTTCGCTTATGCGCTTCGTCTAAATGCCATTTTTTTCTTTGTTGACATATTTGTTTGTTTTTATAGTGATTAAGATTATAAAACAATGTTGACTGTTGTACCCCTAATTTTGACATTTTTACTTATTATGTCTGTTTGTTTTGTTCACACATTATGGTCAATATAATGGAATTGTAAGCGACTGTCATACAGTTGCATCTGAATTATTCCAGTTTCTCCAACAAACATCTTCATTTGAAACTAAAAGGAAAATATAATTTGTATAACATTTTTCAGAAATTTATATCAAAAGTCTATATTGACAATGTCAAAGAGTATTTAAAAAATCTGCGCTGATATATTATTTAATCGTGATCTGCGCGCCTTGGAAATGTAAATTGTATTGAAGTTGCACTGTAAAGCTATCACGCTTACATTTCATGATGTTTTTCTTTAAGTTATATCAAATTTTAATATGAACAATGTCGGAGAAACCTAATTGACCTTAGTACTTGACATGCGAAATTATTGTCCTTAGACTTATACATTATATGCTGAGGTGGGGGATATTGGAACGCTGTTTATTTTTATCAGTGGCGGATCCAGAGGGGGCGTAGAGGGCGTACGCCCCACTTTACTTGCACTTTTTTTGTTGTTGTTTTTTTTAACTAAGACTGTTAAATGATTAATCAGACTAGATTTCGTTAACTTTGCCATTTCCCGTATATTTAATTTGTATGCGACAATTCGTTACTTATAAATATATTATTCGCTCGTATTTACGTGTAATATGTTATTGATTATGTCAAAGTCACGTGATTCGCTACCGTGGAGTTGACCAGTACGTCGAAAAAACGTCACTCAGTCATTTTGAAATTCAAATTACAGTAACACATTGCTAAGGCTGAGGATGATAAGCATGACGCCTTCAAAGCGACAAATGATGGAGCAAGGGCGTATTGACTCCTATTTCACAATTCCACCCAACAGAAGGCAATACTCAAATACACTCACATGATAAAAAAAAGTTCCACAGCTATAATATTTACCTACGAAAACATGTTTAACCCCACACGCCCCAGCCCATTAATAACATTGCTGAATAATGATCCCCAGTCAGTAATCTCTAGATAGATAAAAAGTCTAAGGTACGGACTATTTGTATATTTTTTTTTTGGGGGGGGGGGGAGATATTTTAGAGAAAAAAAAATTCTGGCCCTGATTTCTGCCTTAAAAAATTCTGGCCGTACCTGGGTTGAAAACAATAATCTTGCCCTCGTTTTTGCTATTAGAAAAAAAAAATTCCAACAAAATTATTTTTAAATGTACAAAAAACGGGCGTAATTTTTTTTTCCGCATGTAAATCCCAGGCCACCCTCAGAAAAACAAATGGTCCGTGCCTAAACTCTTCTTGGTATTTAAATTACTATTCTTGTGTTTCTTAATGTTTTTAAAAGGAGTTTAGACTAAAGAGATGGAAGTGACCGGAATGTCTGTTTCGCCGAACTGGTATGTCCATAAAAACATTGAACTTGACTATGAAAAAATCATTGACGATTTTTCTCGACGAAATCCGAGAAAGATGCTTCTGGTGAACCCTATGGCTTAGACGACAGATTTGTACAGAAGTCATCACTAGAAACTGTCAATAAATTTATGTTTTTTTGGATTTATTTTTTATTGATAAGTGAATAAAGTAAAACATCAATTATATTAGTATGTATGATCAGATGCATCTGGGGTGTGAATCACAAATTAGCAATGCATTCTTCAGATGCTAGATGTGACCTCTATTTCAATGACTGACTTGGCTAGGGTCAATTTTTCCATGTCCATTTTTTACTGAGAAATCCCACATCAAATATATTGGTACGTAGCTTCGGATAAATCCAATCATTTTATAATAGACAATTAATGGGGAGAATACGGCATCAAAAATGTCCAACCCTTATACTTTAACTATAAAATATACATGCCTCACGTCAGGAACCGTTAAATTAGTGCATTATACACTTATTTTATGTTTTTTAGCAAAACAAAAGTTCAAACAAATTGTTCTATTCTACGCCCCCTCCTTTCAAAAATCCGGGATCCGTCCCAGTTTATTATCATTTGATTTGTCTTTTTCGTTTTTGTTTTACTTCTTGTACATGGGTGTTGTACACATTGATTCATTTCATTTATTCTTTGTTTTCTGTTATTTTACAGAACGACCTGGTGCCTTCGTACAGTAGAAATAAGGCAATTTGTCGTACTTTTAGGCGATGGGTAAAAGTAAAGCATTCGAGTCGCCTCTTAAACGACAAAGTCAAACTAAAGCGTTAGATCCTTCTGTAAAACGACAAGTTAATAGAAAACTGAGTGGCGTACTGAAATTATCAATTGGCTGAGGTAACCGCGATTGTTCTTTTTTTTTATATCGACAACAACTGTCATTACGCCTGAGAAGATTAAGTTGGGGCATCTAAAGAGCTCGGTGGTCTAAATTTATAAACGCTTTCCAAGTCATTGTTTTTGCACGTGAACTGAAGAATGTTAAATATTATACTTTGCTTTACACGTTTGATAGAACTGTTTAACAAAAATCAAATCGACAGACGTTCAGAAAAATCTTGCTGTGATGAGAAGAACATCTCTGGGATTGGATATTTTTATAACAAGATTACACATACACCATTTTAAATGTTGTTTCTGCAAGTCGTGAGTTAAATATTATGTTTCGTTCTCTGAAAATGAAGACACATACTTGGTGGTAATTGTAAAAACATGGACTACTGGGAATCTTTTTACTAGGGTCAATCTTTTTATACCTGATTTTGATAACGCAGACCTATAACTTTGGATCGCATAGTAAACACGTTACTCTGCTAAATACTCATATAAATAATGGAATAAACAAATTAATTTATGGTTGTAGTATGATAGGATCATCGTATACCGCATTGACATTTTCTGATTTCAAACTAACCACACATGCTGAACATCTGTTTTGGATTTTTATAGTTTCATAGTTTTAATAAAATAAAATATCGTTCAGTGTTTAACTGTGATCTACTTCCTTTATGGTGCCATATATTCAAACATTATTCACAGATATACACTACCTTGTACTGCGCTATTTTTCTTCATGATTTAAAAGAAACATTTTCATGTACTTACAAAATGTCATTATGAAGTATGTGCAATTTTCTGTATCTTGATTTGGAATGATTTCGTCACGGATATTTTCATTATCTGAACAGTGACATATAACTTTTCCTGGCTACAAAGACAAATTTACATTTAGACACTTTGAACATGCAGTTTTAACTTTGATATATAAAATTTCATTTAATTTTTATTTAAAGAACCTGTTTGTTGGTGTTTCTAAACGAAGTAGGATTCAACTTATCTGGACCATTTTGTTGTCATTTGGCTATCAAGTACATTAAACATAACATGTGTGTTTATTGAAAATCGAATAATGACCAAAGGCCAATATCATTCTCCTCCAAAAACAACAATTACTAATATTTGTCAAAATTTACGATTTGTACCTCTTTATACTTATTTCCCAAACAATGATGAAATATTTAAAAAGACCTAAAGAAAATACATCGACAATAAATTTCAATGCAACAAGGTGGCATGTTGACACTATTGTTGTTAAAAGAGTTTTAAAGTTTTTTTTTTACTTTTTTTAATGTAGATATGGATAATTGTGACTTCCAATAGTACTCTCATGATACGTTTTCACAATGGATTTTTTTTTCTGAAAAAATATGCAAAATAATTAAACAGTATACCAAGCCTCATTTGGTGGACAAAAAACTCACTTCTCAATTTATGATCTTTACAAATCGAGTTGAGATATGAATAATATATACTTGTATAACCTGACAAAGTAACAATGAACTATGTTCATATGCCTATCAAAACTGAAGAACCTTGCAAGTGGTTATCTTAAACCATATTTGATTGGATTTTTTGTTGTTTTTTTTTTGTTATCTGGTTATTAGAATTAGATGTTGATGCATGTCTTTGATGGATTCTGTTTAATTCATTCAATAAACATGTAAGACGATTTAGACCTTGCCATATTGTATAAACATTGGTATATTGTTATCGTTCAATCATAAGGATGCATGTCATTTACAAGGAGGGACAAAAAACCAAACTCGAGGAACAACTTACAATAAAATGTCTAAAGAGAAAAGACAAACAACAGCCCATATACCCTACCCCGTAAATTAAAGATTAGGCAAAATAAAACAATCGCAATCCAAAAGAGAACTCAGATGCTCCGAATAGGTCATTTTGATGCTCAACTAGTGACAAAACCTGTCAAACCGTACATGGTTACTACAGCGGTACCAATCAAGTGTAAATATCAAAAGTGATCATACTAGTTAATTTCATGAATTCATTTAATTCGCTAACCGAGGTATTTCAAACACATGTCACGAACCAATAGTACTCGTTTTTTTTTCTTTAACGTAACACTGAATTTTTCCGATACAAGTAGCACCCAAATGGAAAAAATAACGATAACAACTTAAATTAAAAAAATCATGAAAACAATACATTCTACGATAGTGTTTGAATAAAAAAAAGGAGATGTGGTATAATTGCCAACGAGACAACTATCCACCAAAGTTCAAATAAAGTGGATATAAGCAATAATAGGCAACTGTACGTCCTTCAACAACGAGAAGAGAAAAACCCGTATAGTCGGATATAAAAGGCCCCGACATGAAAAATATGAAACAATTCAATTGAGAAAACTAACAGCCTAATTTATAACAAAACAATTTACGAACAAAAAATATGACAGACGTCAAACCAACGACAACCACTGAACTACAGGCTCCTGACTTGACGTATTTTGAAAGGTTTGTCTTTTGCCCATTGATTTGTCTTAATTGTATGATGTAGCAATATTTACAAGATTTACTTCTACTACGTGTTTTGATCTTCATTCTAAACAGTACTGAAAAGTCCTTATTCTGTGTTGTATTCGACACATAATACAAATTTAAACAATGAAAAGGTTAACAAAAAATCTGATCGAGTTTGTGACTTGAAAAGTAGTTTCATACTAACCTGGATACGTTTCTTACCGTTTGCAACACTTCAGGGACCGGATCCTTGCTACTGAACTTTTGGCAATGTTCTGAACAGTTTGTAATAACATCAACACCATCGCACGTCAGTGAAGTATTATTTCCACAAGCGGAGACATTATGAATTATAGGGCCTCCTGTTGATACGAATTGTCATTAGAAATGAGCTTTCAAATTTGTGTATACCACGCAACAAAATGTCGTTCGTGTTATACAAAAGGAATTGATCTTAGATAATTACACCTTAGCATATAATTGTATGAATAAACAATGATTGGGATATTTGTCAATCGGACAGCAACCTAACAACAAAAACACAAAAGACGATTATAGATAGTGGTCAACGTACGGTCACGACAGACAATGGTAAAAGAAATATGGCAAGCTCTTAATCGCTATTTAGACACGTAATACAAGTCTATAACTAATATCAAAGATTTACCATCAACACCAAATTGCCTAAAGGAAGAAAAAGATTAAAATACACTTGTAAAACACATGGTGATGTGTCTGACTGTGAATTGGCACAGGAAGATACGCCGAGACTGCTAAATAATTTAAGGTTTTTACTCACATTATTTTGAATCTATCTGATAATTGAAGATACTTTTAGAGAGTTATGGGCTTCTATTTCGTGCATAATTCATAGACATTTCATTGTCATAAGAAAACATTAAAAGGATGTGTCAGCTATTTTTTCCGAATCAAGCTATAATTGAAATGTTACTATGGAGATCGAATTAAAAAATCCCAACATGATAGATGTATGCATGGTTATAATAAGGACCAGATCGCAGGGAAGTTTTTTTTAGTTTAAATTAAAAATATGACATGCTTAGCAGGATTATAACAGTTTGTCTTGTAGTCGGCCGATTATACCCTTATATATTGATGAAGTTTTTAATTTAGTTTGTTTAATTTTAGTATTATATGTATTTTTATTAGATGTTTTGACTGCATAATTTATGAAATGTTATATCTGATCTTAAACGTACTTGCAATTGATGTTTAAACTGAAAATGCAGCAAATATCATATTAATAAGTACTGTGTAGGTACACAAATAATATTCGGTGATTTGTAATTTTTGTTCTTTCGTCTTCATGGATATTTTTCTCCTTAATTTTTTATGGTGAATCAATTCATGAAATAGAATCTGTATAAGCAATGAAATTGCTTTGCATATTCTTATATTATTACATCTTTTCCATTACAAGATGTTTTTTCATAAACAAGCCAGACTTAAAAGTTAAATAAATGTGTTCAATTTTAATTTATTATTAAAACTAAACATTCTGATCATGTACATATACATTTGTAACACACTGGTTCCCATTCTTAATTACCTTTAAAATATAATGTTGCACCAGTTTGAAAATCACATGATTGGTAATTGAAACCATGGTCTTCGAATATTGTAAAATTCGTATCACATCGACAATAGTTACCATGCTGAAATAAACTTCTGTTTAAAGTAGGATGTAAAAACTAGTATTTATTACTTATGTTAGTAAAGGCTTAATTGGGGATTTTATTTTACGTGTTTGATATCAGATTTGTAAAATTAAAAACAAATATGCTATTTGAACGGCTAATACGATTTCAAAGGCTTTCTTTTCCCCGTTTTCTTGATTTCATCAATAGAGAGTTGCTGCAAACAAGGAAGCCACTAAATCAGCGAGTGCTTTTGACGTGTAAATTTGAAGTGATCCTTGATAAATTAAACGTAATTCAGCATGGCTTTGTGGATTTTTATGGAATATATGTATCCAATGACGGGATCTATACAAACACGACATACTTTCCTGGTAAAGAAATGTTTGTCAGCGGCAACAACTCTTCAAGGAAATTTCAGATAATTTCAACATAATGGCAATTTCTTTTGATTGTTATGTGCATTTTTTTCATCATTTTAAAATCTTGCTCTGGCCTTCTGATTTCAAGATAAGATGCAAAAGTTGTGAAATCATCAAATGAAAGTTTCGACCCAATGCAGATCTTTGTATACACATGTATCTTAATTTGCTAATCATTTAAAAGCTGGTCATATCTTCCCTATGACTAATAGTTTCTGAGATATAAAGTAGATAACGTATGCTCATGTTTCTTGATGAATCAGAACCTACAGTTTATTAACTAGATACACCAAGAGCACAAGAAAAAAACTTTGGTTTGAATATGTTAAGCCGTTAAAAAGAGTTTTCATGATATAAGACATTACTGGGGCTACAACACCGAAATCGGTCGTCCGCTTTTTTTAGAAAAAAAAACCAAATAGTAAATAGATCTTGGCTTGCTTAACAATGTAAAACTGACATTTTTGCTCTAACTAATATAGCTTTTTGAAATAAAACAAAACAACATGCAATTTACTCATATGTTCTATTTAAGAAACCACGGTCATGTTTGTTTCCAAGTGTCAAAAGGCTAAAGGGCTCCAAACTTCATTTATCCAAAAAATACTGTACAATATGCCACAATATTCTAATTTTAAGATATTGAAATACCTTTTATTGATATTTAGATATTGGTAATTAAAAGAAATATTTTTCTACACGTTTTCTGATGCATAACTGTTTATTTGGATAAAACATTGCTGGGGCTTGGCTGTGGTTAACCTTTAACCTGAATGCACGTGTTGTCCTGCGAAGCATACCCCTGTCAATTCAAAATTTTGTAAAATGAAGTAGGTGTCTGTCAGACTCGAAAAACACTCACATATTACAACTGATCACTACTAAGCTGCTCACCAAATATGAAGGCATTTTGTTCAATAATACTGGAGAAATGAGTGACAAAATTATTTGTGGGAAGAACGGACGAACAGACGGACGGACGCAATATATCCCACACTCCTAGAGTAGCTGTATGATTTTTCCAAAATGTTTAAAGTGTTCATTATAGGTTGCATTCCTATAAATATTGACAATGCAATTTCCCATAGGAACTCCTTTCACGGCTAAAACTGTACCACTTTTACTATGAAGTTTTGAAAAAAATCATATCCTAGAATGGAAAGTTCATATACACTACAATTTTTTTCAAAGGTCAAAATATAGGGCTGTGCGGCATATTTTCAACGTTTATATGCCCCGAACTTCTAAGAGTTTAAACTAACACTAAATTTCTTAACTATCTCTACCTTGACAGTAGGATTACCACAGATTTCAATATAAACAATATGCATATGTATATTTACTGGTAACATTCCCAAGTTATGTCTCTTTGAGATGAAACATAGAGATCATAACTGGGAACCAGTATGTAAACAAAATTAATTATCTATGAATATTCTATATCTCCCCAAAAGAGGCGTGATTTGAGAAACAGCTGTATTTACAAAGTGCAATCTATAAGTATAAATTATGACAATTCATGAAGTGTATATGGCATCATATTTATACAACGTAGTAACATTAAGTGTCAAGATAATATTAATTTATATACATTAATGAACAAGGTCAATATAATTTTGTAAAAAAAAGAAATTTCCCACTTTCATGGACCAAATTATTGTTCTTATCATACATACTTCTTAATACAGAAAAAAAAATATTTAAGAGGCAAGACATGTGTTTCTGGTATATGCTCAATGTATTATAATTTGAGGTGACAATCACGGAATAAGGGATCAACCATTTAACTTCGAGGGGGAGGGGGGGGGGGGGGTATGGTTTTTTGTCTGATTCAGAATTTTTTTTTTAGTTTTTCGACGCTATCAATCAAATTATTTTTTTCAAAATTTACCACTATAAGGTATGGGAAAAATCTGGATTCAGAATATTTTTTTTTGTCATCTGCTTGACCACAATTTTTTTTTTCATCAAATTAGGGATCAGAATATTTTTTTTAGGAAAAAACCATAACGAAGTTAAATGGTCGTTCCCAAACTATGTTTCTTTGTCGAAAATATCTTGTGTGTGTTGCAATCTTATTATTGAATTTGTCATTAGATGCTAACATTATTACACGTAACCCCATAGATCTTAGTACAATTGATATAGTTAATCATTCCAAAGCACGATTGTTCACCCTTGTTTAAAATATTCACATACCTGTCACTCTGTTTGTGTAAATGCTGGAGGACTGTTATTGCCATAATGGGTACCTGCGCCATCCCATTAGTGCTTATGGATTGTCATGATAAAACGGTAGTCTCTTTGTTAATTGTCAGTTAAAGAATTCAAAACTGTTCCAGGTAAAGTTGACCTACTTTTTAGGAAGATTTCAGTTATTATGTTTTTGAGTTCCGTTCCTCTTCGGTGCAGTTAAATATTTATCAAGTTATCCAAACTTATGGTCATAATAATATAAGCTACAGAAAGTTATTCTAGAAACACGCCTCATTTAAACTTAAATCGACAAAATATGTTTTTAATTTTATGTAGTTCATGTTGCGTTATTTTTAGGATCTGTGGAATGCTGTTAACAAGTAATTGAGTGTAGCAATTTTCTGCTAGATGAATTATTTACAATAGAACAAAGTTAAAGTGCAGCGTTTTGGATGCATTTGAAAGTTCATAAATGTAATTACTTAATGTACTTACTTCTATTCCTGCAAAGTCACGACCAATGTACAAGCAATACTCCACACAGTATTCATGCGTTAGATTTGCACTTACAAAGCCAATTGTATGATTAGGAAATGGACTGTAACATCCATGAGATGAAAAACCTTGAAATGATTAAATAGACTGGTCACTACCGCCAAGTCTACTACCATGAGTTGAAAAGTAGCATTTTACTCAAATATAAATATCTCTAAAACAACACGGCGTTGAGAAAAGATCTGAAACGTTTCACCCGGACAACAGATAAAGAAATTGATGATGAACGTTTGAAATAAATTCAGAAAAAACATTAAAAGATAACAATGTTGTTATTGTTGGCATTTGTTTTTGTATAGACCAATGTAAGTGGGTTCTTTATATTGAAGACTTGATCACTTTGATAGGCCACTAAGTGCCACATGTTAAACATAGTCGGTAGGATAAATTCGTTACACTGTAACCAATTATATATGAGATGTTTTGATATTTTCTTTTCGCTGTGTTTCGTTTTTGTCTCATGTAGACGCGTCTTGCGTTCTAAATTATAAGCGTGGTATTTTAGATAATTTTTACAAGCCCTATGTCGGTGTTGCTGCCAGTGCCTGATACTTCGTCACCGACTGTATCTCCAGACGAGTATGCTCAGCAGGTTTCATTCAGACTCCTCTAGTCAATTGCAATGTTTATGCACATATTATGACATGTTAAACTGCCGCCTACTCCCTTCTAACTTACATGCTCTGATTGCTTTCTGTGAACAGGGTCGATTAAAGTCGTTAGTTGCTGGCATTGTAAGGTTGGCTATGTCGTCATTTGAACAAGCACATGAAATCTAGAAAATTTGTCATTTATTATCATTACAGAAAAAAAGAATAAATATCTACAAATATTAAATATTAAGCGTGCGTTCAATTTCGTCTCGACATTCGAGCTCCATATAAATGTACATGCTTGTCAATATTTTGGATGGCTAGCTAGTTTTTAAAAAAAGACCTCTTCTAACGATCCTTATATGAACAATTGACGATTTACAGCAATAGGAGTATAGCCTCCCACGCAGCCAAACAGATGCCCAATATAAAGTGTAATTCCACGGACTTTGTGCGTCCAGAGAAACTGGTATTTCGCATATTTTTAATTGATTTATTGAACTTAATCGATTCGGACGTATTTGCGTATCTATGGCATGCGAAGGTGTATTTCTAAGTCCACAGTGTATCATCATACAGAATGCAAATTAATGTTTTTTAATATACTTATATAAAAAAAGAAGATGTGGTATGATCGCCAATGATACAACTCTCCACAACAGACCACATGACACAGAAATTAACAGCTATAGGTCACCGTACGGCCTTCAACAATGAGCAAAGCCCATATCGCATAGTCAGCTATAAAAGGCCCCGAAATGCATGTACTTTAATCAGTACCTACTCTCATACATATAGCTTGAAGAGTACACTGACGAAACATAACACGCTTTAAAATACCTAGAACAATTACAAAAATTATTCCTTCACCAGACCTTTCAAATTAAACGCAAGACTTTTTTTTAAATCATACTTACCGTATACATCTATTAAAAGTGAATACAAGAGAAGTAAAAACTTAATAAAAAAATGAAGAAAAAAAAAAAAAAAAAAAAAAAACAGATTTACACTAAACACGTGATCAGATCCATGACATACTTCACAATACATTTCTAGTAAAACGTCTCTATTTTGATGTGTTCGAGCTTTTGATTTTTCCATTTGAAAAAGGACTTTACGTTTTGAATTTCCCATGGATTTTTGCGTTTTTGTTATTTTACTTTTTTCTATGACATTGTAGGTTAATATGAATCATAACGGTCTACACAAATATAAATCTGTTCAAAGCACAACCATAAAATAAATACATCATTTTTAAAAATTAAATGCATCCTAAATCTCAGGAAACAATGAATATTACCTGACTAAATATTCATTCAAAGACAACACCGTGGATAATAATTTCGCTATAAGTCAATAATACGTTTATTAAATTTGGTATATTCCGTCGCTTTGATTTGCAAGTGCCTGTCCCAAGTCCGGACTATGACAACGAATCCGACATTATACGACATGCGTGGTGTAAAACAATGATCTTATGCGATATTTTTATATAAAACTGTGATGACAGGCAGGAACATGTAAATCGATAGTATAGCATAATTTCAAACATATTGAAAAAGACTTGCGCACTATGCTAGAACACTTTCAACAGAGTGATTTGTGACAGCTTGTACTCAAGCTGGATTCGTAGTTACGCAATTTACCACTGAAGCGAACAAAAACTTAAATCAGCCTTTCCAATAATTATGTTCCCGATCTTTGTTTTCACTTCTAATAACCTTCAATTTAAAAGAAATTGTAGATAATTTTAATTTGAAATTCAAGATGTGTTTTTATATAAATGTAAGATATATTTCGATTTTAATCAATGAGTAATCTTTGATGTATCATGCTTACAAAATGTTCGTAGGATGTCGGTACCTCCAATGATTTACTAAAAGAAGTTATATTGTTTGCTTAATAGCACGTATAAATCACAATAAAATGTATTGTTTTATCTCGGTACGATGTATATTTCTGGATTATCCTCATCATGAATGCTCCAAGCCAGTGATGAAAGACACAATTTTGGGTACTGGCAAAACAATTTTACATAAAGTTGCTGAATTTTGAGTAAGTTTATATGTCTTTCTACTTTCTATGCACACCCTTGTTAAATGGGGATGTAAAGGAAATTCACTTTAAATTAACTACCTCCAATACACTATAAGTATAACAATAATATATTTAATGCTTAATGCTTACCTCATCATTTTTTTTAAGGATAACAAAGGCTGTAAAATTACCACAGAACTGTAGACATTGACTGGTTTCAGTTAGACCCCCACAGAACTGCATTGGTTGGAATCCTGGTATTCCACAGAGGGTGACATTCAAAATAAAATCTGTAAATATAATTTCTTGATTTATACAAAGGGAAACACTTTACCAAGCATGAATATTAAAAAAATGCAGTGATATTGTAAGTAGAGAATAAGGTTCAGCATGTTCCATTCATATACACACGTTAGGGGGAAGAAATATTGTATCGAAAAATTAACTTTGTTTTTTCTTCAAATTAACCAATTTTGTTTAATATTGGTAAACGTTAGATAATGTACAGTACTATTTTGGAAAATATTTTAAAAATATGAATTTGATACTAGGCAATTTATGAATGAGTATTCGAACAAAACTTAACATCTCTGGAGAAGATTTGTGTTTTTAATTGATTCAAATACGCAAATATTGAATAATGGTTCATGTAATAGCAATTTATTTGTGAAATACATTTATACATTGTTGCAGTATATTCAAAATATGTTTATCTAAAAGTCGATTTGAGGCAGTTTGTTTGTAAAAAGCAAAAATAAGAACATATCGAACTCCAAGGAAAATTTAAAACGGAAAGTTTCTTATCAAATGGCGAAATCAAAAGCTCAAACACATCAAACGAATGGAAAACAACTGTCATATTCCTGTCTTGGTACATGCATTTCATTATTTAGAAAATGGTTGATTAACAAGAATACAAAAAATGACCATAGCACAATAACACAATGGCGGGATGTATAAATACCGAGCCACTCCTAAAGGAGATTACAAAAAATGGACTAAACAGTCAACAAATTAAAAATATACAAAGTCAAATAAAAAACCCACTATAACACGTAATTAAGATGATAAACAAGTTAGTACCTAGATAGTACCTAGAATCTATACTTCAAGACCATCATAAAAATAAGAAGATGTGGTATAATTACCAATGAGACAACTCTCCACCAGAGACCAAATGACATTGAAGTTAACAACTATAGGTCACCGTACGGCCTTTGACAAAGAGCAAAACCCATACCGCATAGTCAGCTATAACAGGCCCCGAAATGACAAATGTAAAACAATTCAAACGAGAAAACGAACAGCCTGATTTATGTACAAAATAATGAACGGAAAACGAATATGATATACAACAACAAACGACAACCACTGAATTACAGACTCCTGACTTGGGATAGGCACATACAGAATGTGGCGGGGTTAAACAAATTGAAAGCGCCAACCATCCTCTTAACCTGGGACAGTGGTGTAACAATACAACATAAGAACAAAGTATAAAAATCAGTTGAAAAAGGCTTAACTCATCAGATCGATACAAAGCAGAAATACATCTAACAAAAACACAGACCGGACGTGGCAGGGTACTTATACATCCTCAGAACAAAAAAGACACAAAGTACAGATCTGAGAGTACTCGCAGTTAATGACAGCTAGTTCAAATAGATATGAGAAGATGTGGTATGAGTGCCAATGAGACAACTCTCCATCAAAGTCACGATATGTAAAAGTAAACCATTATAGGTCAAAGTACGGCCTTCAACACGGAGCCTTGGATCACACCGAACAGCAAGCTATAAAGGTCCCCAAAAATGACTAATGTAAAACCATTCAAACAGGAAAAACAACGATCTAATCTATATAAAAAACGAGAAACGAGAAACACTTATGAACCACATCAACAAACGACAACCACTGAACATCAAAGCCAATAACAATTAATAAAAAAATGTATGTAAGACTAAAATATCAATCAGTACACATCCAACGGATTAAGTGTAAAGACGTCATTAACAGTCAGAAAAAAACAAGGCCTTGTGCAATGCAAAGATACAGGTATCGACAGATTATAGAGCCATAGATGTGCATAAGTAAATCAAATAATGTTTAGTTTGATTATAATTTACTGATAACAAAATTAATATTAATACCAATAAAACAATATTCAAAGATCTAATTACAGTGTTGAATTGGTGACCTTTTAGAATAAGTTTATTTAATTTTTAATTACATTATACTGACCAGTCTGTATATTGGAGAAAATGTATTTGTGCATCCCTTGTCAAGTGCATAATCTCTCAAATATTTTAGAAAATTTAACACGGAACTACCAACCGTTTTCGAGTTGTACCCACCGTACCTGAATGGTACAAGGACGACGTTCTGTGATCATTACATTTTGGTACATAATTCGATGTTTTAATCACCAGATCATATGCCTCAAACATGTCAAGAGAATCACTACACCTACATACGTCCTCTCCCTTAAAAAATAATGAATGTGAATTTAAACATATAGAACTTTTTAAAATCAATGTGAAATTAAACGCGTAGAAACTCTTAAAATGAAGGTGAATTTAAAAATATAGAACATGAAATCAAACATATAGAAAATCTTAAAATGAAGGTGAAATTAAACTTATAGAATATCTTAAAATAAATGTGGACTTAAACATATAGAGCATCGTAAAATGAATGTGAAATTAAACAATATAGAATATCTTAAAACAAATGTGGACTTAAACATATAGAGCATCTTAAAATGAATGTGAGCTTAAGCAGATACATTTGTAAAACATCTTTAAGAAATAAATGTGAAATTAGACACATAAAACATATTAAAATAAACGTTAACTTAAACATATAAAACATCTTAAAATGAATTTGAACATAAACATAATATTATTCTTATAATTGGAAAGTCATTTTGACTTTGTCGTTGTTTATAAAACATCTGAAATAACAAAAGAATTAATTGTTCAATTAAAAACAAGGTCTTTCCATCTACGCAGTCACACTTTTTGATTAATGGACTTTCATAAAGCATATTGTCTAATTTCTGTCGAAAAAGTAATGGAAATACTGAAGCGTTTCCGATGTTGGTCCTGTTGTTAGGTATTTTAGTTATGACGTCATATTCAATGTAAACAAAGAAACGCTATCTTCGTGAAACTTTTTTTCAAATTAAAGAATTATGTAAATAAAAATGTAATAATTATACCTTAAAACAACGAATATAAAAAGTCGGCTTATTAATCTTCGTGTATCAGATTCCTTATCGGATACCAAAAAAATGCATGTTTTATCAGGTGAGTTTCCCCAGAAAACACATTTCATCTGCTATAAAAATCGTATAGACTCATTTTAAAGTGATACGAATATGCATATTCATTATTCTTTTGGTAATCAGATACAACAAATTTGCGGAAAACTGTTTGATGCTCTTTACGCAAAGTCCCGAGACAAACGATACCAGAAGAGAGAAACTAAACCGGAGAAGATATTTGCGCAAGGGCGAGGAGCTGAAAAAAATTAGAACGATTAAGAATTCATCAGAAATTGAAATTCATTTTTACTAGTATTGAATTTTCTAGTATAAATGAGGACTTCGTCCTCATAAAGGTTTACATTACACTGGTTCCCAAAATTTACATTTTTTTTATGTTCTTTCACTTGAATTAAGACAGATAATTTGCAACTTCCGGTTTACATAATGTCACTTTCGGTGTCATATCATAGGCAACTTGATTTTTTATATTGTTTTTAGGTACTTTTGCTTGAAATTAGTGCATAAAATTGCTTCTTCCAGTGTTCACAATGTGATTTTCGGATAACCTTTAAAAATCGAATACAAAAGAGCTCATGACTCATATCCAGAAATCAACGCCACTTTGCTTATTTGAATATTATACTAAAGAAATCGGATACGGGTCACGGAAATTATATTGAAATGATAGGGAATTTTGAAAAAAAATATGTCTGTTTTAACTTTAATTTAAGTGATAGACAGGTTGAGGGGACAGAAAATAAATATACACAACAATATACACCATTTAAACGAAACATAATGACTGTCGTTGCAAAAATCAAGGTTCCTGAGCTATTTTAAAAATCGAAACGAGAGGCTTTTAACATTGCAGTATAAAAAAACAGGCTAAAATGGCTGAAACGTCAAATTTGCAAACTTCGTGTTGAAAATTGGCTAACAAGGTCATTACAAAAACAGGTTGCGGAGATGAAACTTGAAACTTGAATGTCCAAAGAATAAGCAAGTCCAAACCTTGTATGTGTAGTCGTTCAACTCTAGGTTCCCACGTAAAGTTAAAATGCCCCTATTTCAAGAAGAATAAACTCACGAAAACACAAAAAAATCACTAAATAGACCACTTTCGAGTTTGTCCTTCACCGGAAAAAACTCGTCAATTATGCGCGCCTTTATGACGTCATTTACCAGATAGAGGGGATCGCCTGTATCCCTGCACTATTTACGCTCATCAAGCGTCTTAGTGATCGTCATTGTGCAGGATAAACTAGAAATAATGTTTGTTCCGTAGGTACTTAATCACAATTCCCTAATGACAGCAGTGCTGATTGTCAATTATGAGAATTCAATTTGTCGAATAATTCGTACAATATAGCATCATAGTTCTCCAACCACTTGCTCAACATTGGAACGGAAGTGACGACGCCCCTAAACACACGAATGATGTTCACTAAAACCAAAGTTTTTGACGGAAATGCATCGAACTCGAAAGTTGTCCATTCGCGTTCATTGTTTTGATTTTGACCGCCTGACAACTTTACGGAAATATCAGAGTGATTATAAACAAGGATTCTGTGACGGGCAACTTATAATATCCGTGTTTTAAAGATTTTAATGATATCAAGCCAGTCAAGTTCAAACTATTATCACGTGGTACAATTCTCATTTACATATTATGAATATTAATTAGCAAAAGTACTACTAATTTCTGGCTATGTTTATTATGTACCAGTATGTACCTTTCACCAGTACATTAAAAACATCCCAAAAGAAATTACTCCTATAAATTCATCAGATTGATTTCAATGTAATGTATCAAATCTTCGCCATTATGTCCCTAACATTTTGATCAGTTTCTTTCTTTGAATATTCCATCAGTTTCAGTGAAATGACAATAACAAGCAAGGGTATAAATCTAGAACGCCAAATCAGACTGTGATCATGTCCTTAATTTCAATTTAAGGGTGGTTGGTCTAAGATCAAAAATTGATTATTGTTTGCTTGATGTCTAATTGCAAATAGTTCATGCATGTTCAGGACAAGAAATCAAAACACCCCAGGTATCGTTTATGCATGATTGAACAAATTAAATTTTAAAGGAGAAACTTCCTTTAAAAAGTAACCGGATCACTTCATTCCAAATGTTTGGGCGTTACGTTAAATCGTATCTAACCACTTGACAAAAACCTTTTGTCGATCACTTTTATAGTTTATGAGTAGTTGCGATAACAAGCAAAGTTCAAAATTTAGAACATTACCTTGATATTTGACCTCGACCTAAATTTCCTGATTATGGACCAAGGACTTCATAACAAAAGATTCTAGGTCACAAAGTGAAAAATAACTTTTTCCCGAGGTCATTGGAAGACCTTTTGAATTTTATCTGATTATAATTTAATTTTGGATGTAACGCGTCTTCTGATTGGCTGACGTTGTTTTGTTTATCAGCTCAAAGACATAATTTTGTCATGTGACCGTGACGTCATCAACGTTTTTTCATGGTTTACTCCGGTTTAAAATGGAATTTAGAATTAAATTATAAGAAATGACTGTAATATTTTTTCTGTCTATTCGAAATAACATAAAAAATGTGGTGCACACTTTAAAATAACCCGCTACGCGTGTTATTCAGTGTGCACCACATTTTTGATGTTATTTCTTCATAGACAGAAAAAATATTACAGTCATTCCTTAAATAGACCTTATCGCTATTTGGGAATCTGCGACACTTAACCCGATAATTTGCGACACTTGAACTTTTGACGTCATACAACAATCACTTTTCTTTTGTGGCGTCAGACATTTTCTCTTGTGACGTCAAAATTTTACGGGAAGTTCTGTGATTTCCAGTAACGGCGGGAAAATAGCGATAAGGTGTATTTACACTGAACACTGTTTATCATGTTATCGCCTTTACTCAGAAACCGTAAAAGATGCCGATTATATCGTTTCTTCAAAATGCTCATTTCTTCCAAATAGCATCTTAAAAATGAATGAATATATAACACTAGGTCTTAACGAATTAGGAAAACACATTTACACTCGTCATACACATACAAATGTACTTATTGTCTATTTAGTTTGTATTATTCGGGATGGTATCTTTAATTTTATTTACAAATATGAAAACATGTATGTCGTGAATTTCGTTTTAAATTACCTCAACTCCAGAGAAAGGTTTTCCATTCTGCAAGCATGTTGGTATACATATCTCTCTTGTCATATTACTAAACAACAGTGCTTGATTATCTGCCACATTATAAGCTGGTGCTTCATAGCATCCAATGAACGTATAATCTGATAAAAAAAAAGGAATAATAGCAAAGCATAGAAAACATAAAACAAGTATTTGGTATTTGTTACAGTAAATGTGTATAATTAGGAATATTATGTATAATCACATAAATTTTCAGGAATTATGCATAACCACCAGAAAAAATGTCAGGGATTATACATAATAACTGGAGTGAAGAAACAATGAATAAAAGTTTGATAATTTATCCAGTAAAATCGTATTGAAACATCTTTAGAAGCATGAATATTAAAATGTTAAGCACAATACTCTCATACAAATTATTTATTTTTACAAACTACATTGTAAATGTTGATGTCATCTACTATTTCACATTTACCAATTAATCATTTGCAAATGATATGCTTTCCGTTTTTTGCAACAACATCCACTGTAATAAAAAAGACCTTGTCCTTCACATATAGAATCTAATTTTACCGCACGTTGAAGAGAAAACAAAATTAATGTTCATTAGAAACATCTGAAGGAGCAAAAAAAGTGAATCAGTCACCTCAAATTGATTTCTTATGTAGGACCCAAGCAAAATTATATATTTAGTAGCCAGGCAATATCCTTTTTAGTTCGTTCATGGACATAATTATCCATTACATTTTTGGGGCCTCCCTTTCCGCTATCGGCAACATGCGGAATCGGTATAAAACATTATAGTTAATCTTTGCCTCCTCCAAAATTGTGTTCAATATGTCAAGCATGCGTTCTGTCTGTTTTTCTGTAATTTTAGTTGCATTAGTTTGCCTAGTTTGAATTCCTTGTCCATTGGAACATAGAAAACATAAGACAGACAGATGCTGAATAACCTTCGTCGCCATTTGTTTTACTGCTAAATATATGCACTGTGCATTTTTTAATGCACAACATGAATGTCATTGGATACTGTTTTGGCAAACAAATCTAACAATATAATTCATGGCATACATGTGCAGCTATCACTATCATTGAGAATGTTGGTGCTATTCATTTCAATTTTAAATTTTTTTTTGTTTTTGTTTTTGTAAATGTTGTTCAACACAGTTAAATAGCATATCACTGGCAAAAATTGTTCACTTTAAATTTGATAAATGGACAGGGAATGCAAACTGCCAACTTAAACCCAAGGGTTAGAAATACAGATCATTTATTTGTCTATATTTGATTTATTTTATCAAACAAAGGATCGATCTTTGTATTATTGACAATCCCTGAAATAATATCAGGGAATTTGTAAAATAATTCTTAAAATGTTCAGTGATTATTTTAAATCACTGGTCATTTTCAGGGATTATATATAATCACTAACGACTTAAGTGATTGTGCAAAATCCCTAAAAAAACAGATTCTATACATAATCCCTGATTATACAAATTCACTGTAACATATATAAATATAAATATTATATTCTCCTGTAACACACAAAATGTATTCTATTTAAGCTCATGTGCGTAGTATTACTTCTCTCGAATCATCTGTAAAACTTGCCTAAAAACAAGTACCCTTACCAACTGTTACATTGACAGTTGTCCCTTTGATATATTGTACGTCCATAACTAGCTGTGACCTTCAAAGCAAAATACTATTATAATACTGACCGAAATAGTGACATAAAACGTGAGAAAGGGACCGACTATATATTACGTCGGAGTAGAAGATTGGACATTGGAATTGTTATGTCATTATTACTGTGTGATCAAAATATGTAGAAGTACAACAAACACATTTTAAAAATATTTCTAACTGTTGATGTAGCTGTTGACTTTTTTTATCACGAACATGTGTATATAAAAACAAGATGTTTTGTGATTGCCAATGAGACAACTCTCCACAAGAGACCAAATGACAAAGAAATTAACAACTATAGGTCACCGTACGGTCTTCAACAATGAGCAAAACCCATACCGCATAGTCATTTATAAAAGGCCCCGTAATGACAAATGTAAAACAATTCAAACGAGAAAAATAACGGCCTAATTTATGTACAAAATAATGAACGAAAAACAAATATGATACACATCAACACACGACAACCACTGAATTACAGACTTCTGACTTGGGACAGGCACATACAGAATGTGGCGGGGTTATACTTGTTTGAAGGCGCCAACCCTCCCCTAACCTGGGACAGTGGTGTAACAGTACAACATAAGAACAAAGTATAAAAATCAGTTAAAAAAGGCTTAACTCATTAGATACACCCAAATAGAAATACATCTAACAGTAACACAGAGTGGATGTGGCAGGGTACTTATACATCCTAACAACAAAACGACACTTAGTACATATCTGAGAGTACTCGCAGTTACTGACAGCTGGTTCAAAGCCAATAACAACTAATATATGATGAAGACATAATCTTTCAGTCAGATTAATTGAGGTCTGGAGCTGACATGTCAGTAACTGCTAGTAGTCCTTTGTTAATTTATGTATCATTCTCATTTTGCTTAGTTTCTTCTGTTATACCTTTTCTGGCATCGGACTCGGACTTCTTTTAAACTGAGTGCTACTGTGCGTATTGCTGTGTGTTTGTTTATTCTACATTGGCTGGAGGTATAGGGGGAGGGTTGAGATCTCACAAAACATGTTTAACCCCGCCGCATTTTTGCGCCTGTCCCAAGTCAGGAGCCTCTGGACTTTGTTAGTCTTGATTTTGTTTTTTAATTTTTAGTTCTATTATATGTTTTGGAGTTTAGTGTGACGTCCATTTTCACTGAACTAGTACACATTTTTGTTTAGGGGCCAGCCGAAGCCCGCCTCCGGGTGTGGGATTTTCTCGCTGTGTTGAAGACCCATTAGTGGCCTTTGGCTGTTTTCTGCTCTTTGGTCGAATTGTTGTCTCTTTGACACATTCCCCACTTCCATTCTCAATTTTAATTAAAAAAATCATGCATCAAAGACAAATAAATCAATCAGTACACATCCAACATCCAACGGACTTAGTAAAGACGTCTTTAACAGTCAGAGAAAAACATGACCTTCTGCAATGCCATGATACAGGTATCGACAGATTGTAGAGCCATGCATGTGCATATGTATATAAAAATAATATTTAGTTTGATTTTTATTTGCTGATAACAAAATCAGTATTAATACCAATAAAAACAATACTTAAAAGATCAAATTACAGTGTTGAATTGGTAACCTTTTAGAATAAGTTTATTCAAAGGATCGATAAGTTTACCTGGATCGTATCTAAATTTCCGGCCTCGGTAAACAACATCTTCGTAAAAATTAGGATGTGATATCCCGTTTGAAATAAGTTTTCTACAGGTACAACCAAACTTAAAAACCAAATCTTTATATCTATGGAAGATTTTAGTAAAGGTTATAAGTAATTTGTGGTAACGAAATCCCTGACTTAATTATTTACCAGTAATACTAGTACATAGATTACGTTCATTGAAATCCAAAACGACACAACAGACACGGGCATAGAAAACGAGTTGTGATATATATACATCGTAAGATGGTGCTAAAGGAACACCACTGTCCAAAAAAGGAAAATCAACAATAGGGAATCAAAAATCGTCCCTTTTGTCGTAAATTTTAGTGAAGATCTCCCGTGTAAAACTAAATATCTAAATCTAGGAAAGACAGTTATTCCTTTGGATAAATTTCGGCAGTATATTTAGAAAATTCTTGATTATTTAACGAAAAATATCATCAAGATAATGGAAAGTGTTGTTGAATTTTATCAATTAAATGCAATTTGGACGGGTATTTACTGAGTTTGGTCATAAACTTTGATTCATAACAATACAAGAACAAGTCTGCTATTAAAGGGGCGCAATAAGACTATATACGTTCATGTTCTCACTGCAGAGCTACATCCGATCTCTGACTTTGCTATTTTGACTGATCATTTGTCAACTGGCATGTCCTTAGTCTAAGCCTCTGCAGGTTCTAATTTCACCATCCATGAATCATTCCCATATATAATGTAACAGATGTATTAGAAAAAAAAATTGTTTTATATGATCCTTTGCTTATATATTTTCAGCTTCTGAAAATAGATTTTTTACGAAAAAATCATTTCTCGTTAAAGTAAAAATATTTTCTATACGGTTACATTTGATGTTCTGTAATTTTCACCTACCTTTTAGGGTTTCGGTTTCATTGTAGGGTTCACAAAAACTCTGTGAAAAGGTATTATTTTCACTACTAGCAATTTCTCCAATGTTAACAAAAACCATTAGCGTTAGAATAGAATTCATGGCAAAATATTTAAAGACTCGACTGACACATCTTTATAGCAGTAATCAACTTTTCCCATATGCACATGTAGTAGCTCCGATTCAAAAGTCGATAGGAAAGTCTACTCCTGCACCTGTCAATTGAAAGTTTTAAAAAATGAGTAGTGTATCTTATTTCGAAACCATTATCCATCCAATGACAGTCGTAAAATCGATTGATGGTTCTAATATAATTGTTATTTTAAGTGAAAGGATGTTCACATTTCAAAACTTTATTTTTTTATTGGAAATGTATCAAAATGTATATCGATTAACGACAAGCGCATACGATGGTTACATTTGATACGTGTTAATGTTGTTGAACTGCAATTATATAAACGTTTTTCTTAATAACGAAATAGAATATAAAGATAAAATCGAATTATTTGTCAATGAAGTTTTTGAAATTGCATAACTAACAGTTCAACAATACACTGTACTTGAAATATAAATTCATTATGATTAAAGAATTGTTAAATTTTGTTAAACATCATATTACTTATTGTTAGGATACATACATTGAAGAGTTTGATGAATAGAAAAAAATCTTAAATGTACCCTTGTAAAGTTTTCGCTTTATGATGACGCAAAATAACAAAATATCTTTATTTAACGTAACTGGTATTTCATTCAATCTCAGTTAACTTAAATATAAAAATGGCACATTTTGTTTATTCTATTGTTATAACACAAAACTATGTCACTTACTCAAAATAAGCATTTTGTTTTCATTTCGTTGTTCTATTCATTAAATCTTACATAAAAAGTTGTTATTCTGAATGCAAAGCCCAAAGACGACTAAAGAAAAAAAAATCTGTTTTTTTTTCAAAGTACCCACCATGAATTTCATAACTTTATGAACAGATTCCTTTTTATCATAACATAAAAGGTTAGAAAAAGGTCTGTCTAGATATGAAACACCTTATTAAAGACGAGAAATCACATCTTTATTTTACGGTGATGTTGCTTATAGAGTCTGTACATTAAGATACGATCTACAATAAATCCTCGATCCTTTGAATATTGTGTGATTCGGTACTACATTAGTTCTGTTTTTGATAGATTAACACATACATAACTAAATATGCATCGCTATACAGTTATGAACACTTGTGGTCCTAAATCCTGTTTATTTATATTAGGATTACACAAGGCCATGCTATTCTAAGACTGTTTGTGACATTTTACACTTAATCCATTTGACGTGTACTGATATAAATTTCAGTCGGGAAAAACATGGTTTATGGTTTACTTTTATAAATTGTAACTTGGATGGAGAGTTGTCTCATTGGCACTCATACCACATCTTCCTATATCTATTTAAAGATTAGTCAGAATTGGCTTAGAACTGTTTTATTAACTGCAGGTAATTTTAGATCGGTTCCTTGTGGGGTTTATTTTTGTATGTTTTTAGGGTTTATATTGGTTTAGTGTCGATCTAATGAGTCAAGCTTTTTTCAACTGATTTTGATGGTTTGTTGTTATGTTGTGCTGCTATGCCACTGTCCCAGGTAAGAGGATGACTGAGCGCTCACAGCCATTTTAATCGTAGTCAAATTCTTTATGTTCCCTCTACAATAAACTGATTATTCTGCCCCTTTTGGATGCGCATGTAAATAATTTATAAAGAAAATGGGAGAATTGTGCTATACATTTATTTGTCTATATTTGATTTATTTTATCAAACAAAGGATCGATCTTTGTATTATTGACAATCCCTGAAATAATATCAGGGAATTTGTAAAATAATTCTTAAAATGTTCAGTGATTATTTTAAATCACTGGTCATTTTCAGGGATTATATATAATCACTAACGACTTAAGTGATTGTGCAAAATCCCTAAAAAAACAGATTCTATACATAATCCCTGATTATACAAATTCACTGTAACATATATAAATATAAATATTATATTCTCCTGTAACACACAAAATGTATTCTATTTAAGCTCATGTGCGTAGTATTACTTCTCTCGAATCATCTGTAAAACTTGCCTAAAAACAAGTACCCTTACCAACTGTTACATTGACAGTTGTCCCTTTGATATATTGTACGTCCATAACTAGCTGTGACCTTCAAAGCAAAATACTATTATAATACTGACCGAAATAGTGACATAAAACGTGAGAAAGGGACCGACTATATATTACGTCGGAGTAGAAGATTGGACATTGGAATTGTTATGTCATTATTACTGTGTGATCAAAATATGTAGAAGTACAACAAACACATTTTAAAAATATTTCTAACTGTTGATGTAGCTGTTGACTTTTTTTATCACGAACATGTGTATATAAAAACAAGATGTTTTGTGATTGCCAATGAGACAACTCTCCACAAGAGACCAAATGACAAAGAAATTAACAACTATAGGTCACCGTACGGTCTTCAACAATGAGCAAAACCCATACCGCATAGTCATTTATAAAAGGCCCCGTAATGACAAATGTAAAACAATTCAAACGAGAAAAATAACGGCCTAATTTATGTACAAAATAATGAACGAAAAACAAATATGATACACATCAACACACGACAACCACTGAATTACAGACTTCTGACTTGGGACAGGCACATACAGAATGTGGCGGGGTTATACTTGTTTGAAGGCGCCAACCCTCCCCTAACCTGGGACAGTGGTGTAACAGTACAACATAAGAACAAAGTATAAAAATCAGTTAAAAAAGGCTTAACTCATTAGATACACCCAAATAGAAATACATCTAACAGTAACACAGAGTGGATGTGGCAGGGTACTTATACATCCTAACAACAAAACGACACTTAGTACATATCTGAGAGTACTCGCAGTTACTGACAGCTGGTTCAAAGCCAATAACAACTAATATATGATGAAGACATAATCTTTCAGTCAGATTAATTGAGGTCTGGAGCTGACATGTCAGTAACTGCTAGTAGTCCTTTGTTAATTTATGTATCATTCTCATTTTGCTTAGTTTCTTCTGTTATACCTTTTCTGGCATCGGACTCGGACTTCTTTTAAACTGAGTGCTACTGTGCGTATTGCTGTGTGTTTGTTTATTCTACATTGGCTGGAGGTATAGGGGGAGGGTTGAGATCTCACAAAACATGTTTAACCCCGCCGCATTTTTGCGCCTGTCCCAAGTCAGGAGCCTCTGGACTTTGTTAGTCTTGATTTTGTTTTTTAATTTTTAGTTCTATTATATGTTTTGGAGTTTAGTGTGACGTCCATTTTCACTGAACTAGTACACATTTTTGTTTAGGGGCCAGCCGAAGCCCGCCTCCGGGTGTGGGATTTTCTCGCTGTGTTGAAGACCCATTAGTGGCCTTTGGCTGTTTTCTGCTCTTTGGTCGAATTGTTGTCTCTTTGACACATTCCCCACTTCCATTCTCAATTTTAATTAAAAAAATCATGCATCAAAGACAAATAAATCAATCAGTACACATCCAACATCCAACGGACTTAGTAAAGACGTCTTTAACAGTCAGAGAAAAACATGACCTTCTGCAATGCCATGATACAGGTATCGACAGATTGTAGAGCCATGCATGTGCATATGTATATAAAAATAATATTTAGTTTGATTTTTATTTGCTGATAACAAAATCAGTATTAATACCAATAAAAACAATACTTAAAAGATCAAATTACAGTGTTGAATTGGTAACCTTTTAGAATAAGTTTATTCAAAGGATCGATAAGTTTACCTGGATCGTATCTAAATTTCCGGCCTCGGTAAACAACATCTTCGTAAAAATTAGGATGTGATATCCCGTTTGAAATAAGTTTTCTACAGGTACAACCAAACTTAAAAACCAAATCTTTATATCTATGGAAGATTTTAGTAAAGGTTATAAGTAATTTGTGGTAACGAAATCCCTGACTTAATTATTTACCAGTAATACTAGTACATAGATTACGTTCATTGAAATCCAAAACGACACAACAGACACGGGCATAGAAAACGAGTTGTGATATATATACATCGTAAGATGGTGCTAAAGGAACACCACTGTCCAAAAAAGGAAAATCAACAATAGGGAATCAAAAATCGTCCCTTTTGTCGTAAATTTTAGTGAAGATCTCCCGTGTAAAACTAAATATCTAAATCTAGGAAAGACAGTTATTCCTTTGGATAAATTTCGGCAGTATATTTAGAAAATTCTTGATTATTTAACGAAAAATATCATCAAGATAATGGAAAGTGTTGTTGAATTTTATCAATTAAATGCAATTTGGACGGGTATTTACTGAGTTTGGTCATAAACTTTGATTCATAACAATACAAGAACAAGTCTGCTATTAAAGGGGCGCAATAAGACTATATACGTTCATGTTCTCACTGCAGAGCTACATCCGATCTCTGACTTTGCTATTTTGACTGATCATTTGTCAACTGGCATGTCCTTAGTCTAAGCCTCTGCAGGTTCTAATTTCACCATCCATGAATCATTCCCATATATAATGTAACAGATGTATTAGAAAAAAAAATTGTTTTATATGATCCTTTGCTTATATATTTTCAGCTTCTGAAAATAGATTTTTTACGAAAAAATCATTTCTCGTTAAAGTAAAAATATTTTCTATACGGTTACATTTGATGTTCTGTAATTTTCACCTACCTTTTAGGGTTTCGGTTTCATTGTAGGGTTCACAAAAACTCTGTGAAAAGGTATTATTTTCACTACTAGCAATTTCTCCAATGTTAACAAAAACCATTAGCGTTAGAATAGAATTCATGGCAAAATATTTAAAGACTCGACTGACACATCTTTATAGCAGTAATCAACTTTTCCCATATGCACATGTAGTAGCTCCGATTCAAAAGTCGATAGGAAAGTCTACTCCTGCACCTGTCAATTGAAAGTTTTAAAAAATGAGTAGTGTATCTTATTTCGAAACCATTATCCATCCAATGACAGTCGTAAAATCGATTGATGGTTCTAATATAATTGTTATTTTAAGTGAAAGGATGTTCACATTTCAAAACTTTATTTTTTTATTGGAAATGTATCAAAATGTATATCGATTAACGACAAGCGCATACGATGGTTACATTTGATACGTGTTAATGTTGTTGAACTGCAATTATATAAACGTTTTTCTTAATAACGAAATAGAATATAAAGATAAAATCGAATTATTTGTCAATGAAGTTTTTGAAATTGCATAACTAACAGTTCAACAATACACTGTACTTGAAATATAAATTCATTATGATTAAAGAATTGTTAAATTTTGTTAAACATCATATTACTTATTGTTAGGATACATACATTGAAGAGTTTGATGAATAGAAAAAAATCTTAAATGTACCCTTGTAAAGTTTTCGCTTTATGATGACGCAAAATAACAAAATATCTTTATTTAACGTAACTGGTATTTCATTCAATCTCAGTTAACTTAAATATAAAAATGGCACATTTTGTTTATTCTATTGTTATAACACAAAACTATGTCACTTACTCAAAATAAGCATTTTGTTTTCATTTCGTTGTTCTATTCATTAAATCTTACATAAAAAGTTGTTATTCTGAATGCAAAGCCCAAAGACGACTAAAGAAAAAAAAATCAGTTTTTTTTTCAAAGTACCCACCATGAATTTCATAACTTTATGAACAGATTCCTTTTTATCATAACATAAAAGGTTAGAAAAAGGTCTGTCTAGATATGAAACACCTTATTAAAGACGAGAAATCACATCTTTATTTTACGGTGATGTTGCTTATAGAGTCTGTACATTAAGATACGATCTACAATAAATCCTCGATCCTTTGAATATTGTGTGATTCGGTACTACATTAGTTCTGTTTTTGATAGATTAACACATACATAACTAAATATGCATCGCTATACAGTTATGAACACTTGTGGTCCTAAATCCTGTTTATTTATATTAGGATTACACAAGGCCATGCTATTCTAAGACTGTTTGTGACATTTTACACTTAATCCATTTGACGTGTACTGATATAAATTTCAGTCGGGAAAAACATGGTTTATGGTTTACTTTTATAAATTGTAACTTGGATGGAGAGTTGTCTCATTGGCACTCATACCACATCTTCCTATATCTATTTAAAGATTAGTCAGAATTGGCTTAGAACTGTTTTATTAACTGCAGGTAATTTTAGATCGGTTCCTTGTGGGGTTTATTTTTGTATGTTTTTAGGGTTTATATTGGTTTAGTGTCGATCTAATGAGTCAAGCTTTTTTCAACTGATTTTGATGGTTTGTTGTTATGTTGTGCTGCTATGCCACTGTCCCAGGTAAGAGGATGACTGAGCGCTCACAGCCATTTTAATCGTAGTCAAATTCTTTATGTTCCCTCTACAATAAACTGATTATTCTGCCCCTTTTGGATGCGCATGTAAATAATTTATAAAGAAAATGGGAGAATTGTGCTATACATTCTATATACAGTGGAGTTAAAAACATCCTAGACGGTGGTCTAGATTGTCTCATGAAACATTCAAGACTGCCTGCACTGATGTTCCTGTCCCAAGGCAAGATCGTGCGTGTAAGTCAGTGGTTTTTAGTGGCTGTTGTCTAATCATATATCTGGCCGTTTATTTTTTATTTTTTTGAATAATAACACATTTTGTCATTTCGCGGCCCTTTTGGAACTTACTTTACGATGTGGGTTTTGTTCAGTATTAAAGGCCGTACAGTGCTTTTAGTTGTGTCCATCCTCGTCATAAGGTCTTTGGTGGATATTTTTCTATTTGCAATCATAACGCATCTCATTATTTTTTAAATAATTTTAACCATCAGTTGTTTATTGTGTCACATTAAATCGTGAATCGTCATATAATATGATGCGCAATCTTTCAAATTGGTTTGTGTGTATTTTTTGTTGACTAACGATTGTATTTTTGTTTTGTTTTGTTTTGTTTTGTTTTGTTTTGTTTTGTTTTGTTTTTTTTGCTCATTGTATGAAATACTTTAGTAGAAAAGATATGCATAATTATCAATATGTACATATCACTTACACCAACGTCCTATATATACATCATTTATCTTTTGGGGAAAACAGACAACTTGATCGTAATATACTGAAATAAGTTATTTTCTTCGACCAAAACAATTAAAGCCGTAAATATTTATCTTTTATTTCTAAACTTTAATTAATTTTAATCTATTTTATTTCATTTATTTATGTATTATTATTTTTGTTTTCTTGTTTTTTTTTTAACATTTATTTTTTTTAAATATAATGGGATGCCTGTTTCTTGATTTTAAATTGCATTAAATCACAATTTTGATTGCACCTGTGTCACCAAACAAATAATGATATAATAATAAGTTAGAAAGTATAATTCTTCAAAACAATAACTTAGTAGTCTCAAAGTTTCATTTTTACTAAATTGTTGACAGTAAATTCGTGAAAAATAATAAATAATGGACCTGTTTTAAGTGCAACTATTCATATGTAGTGTTTTTAATTTAACGCTGATTCAGTGACAATATATCAGGCTGATGCTATACATTTCTGTCTAATAGAATGTATAAATGGATCTATAAACTTTTTTAATTTGGATTTTTTTTTTACTTTGTGATTAAATATTGTTTTTTGTTATTGATTTGCAAATAGTACAAATATCAACCATTTATGAAAATAACAAATGATACGATTTGCTTTCTCTACACAACTGTTTTAAAATTGATTTCGACAAGCGCGTTCCGTTCATAATTATAGGCCATAGAGCGAGTTTCACAAGATGAAATTCATCAAATAACTTATATTGTCATCTGCTCCCCTGCTGTCCAATAATCATTTTACAACATTCAATGTTGTTTTATATACCCGTTTTTAATTTCAATTTGTATAATATATGAGCTGCGTCGGATAGAAATCGACCTTATGCAAGTGCACGTATGCATGTACTTGTATAAGACTTTGGTTGATTTCATAACATTCGAATACGAATAAAAGATAAATTTTGGTCTGTATTGTAGGGTTCTTATAACAACTCAATTTTTAAACAATTACAGACTTGCACTAGAGATTTTCTAAACCCGAAATAGTATAACAGATGTATTGATATTCATTTGCATAAGGTCGATTTCTATTCGACGCAGCTCATATATTGTCTGTAGAAAACGTCTTCTTTTGTATTATCTTTTTTCAATATTTTAATTTCCGATTGAGCCTTTTTAACCATAAAACAAAGAATTCCAGCAGGTATAAAGTTTTACACTTACAACAAAGCCACTGATCAATCTGATAGAGTGATGGGGAAAAAAGTCTCTTTAAGTATAATGTTTTAAGACTTTTTTATGTTAGCAAACTGTATTGTTTTTAATATTATCAATCATCGGATTAAAAGAAGAATTTAAATAGTCTATGTTTGAATATAAGAGAAGCGAAAAGAACAAAACAATAAAACACAGTGTCATGAGTGCAAACACTACATATCGTTTGATTTAATTGAAGAGTAAAGAAAATACAGGGCAATGATCGATCTTCTTTACAAGATATTACAACTCATAAGTTTCGGAAACATTCAAAGCAATAATCTTAAGGACCATGGAACCAACAATTAAGCATTTAACGAACACCCGAAAAGTCGCAAATTCTGTTTATAGTTGATAAAATACTCTGAATCTATAATACAATAGATAATAGTGGCTTGCATTTGAGGTAACAGTAGTTTACCTATGTTCTAATCTCATAAACCCATTCAAAATATACATATCAAGGTGAAAAAAAACTGAATACGAATACATCTCATTATCTACAAGAGAAACAAGATAAGTGCGTCGATAGAGTTAGCGTCTCCTTCAATGAATGCATGTAATAACCGCCATGCAAACCCCACAATCAGTCAAAAGTCACAGCTTTGAATAGTAACCTAGTCTCACTGGTACCCCATAGTCCTAATAGATATAAGATATGGAGGTAAAAAAACTTTAAAATAGTGACTAAAAGGATACAGGGCACCACATTGTAGGAAAGCAACAGCAAGCCGTTCAAACAGGTCGATAACAAGTTACAACAGGCATAACAACTTCTGATCTCGAGTAACCTAAGTTGAACTTCCAATGGACTCCCTGGAGTCTAACATCTAAGTACCGCATCGGCCAAAATCAATACCCTACAGCGTTAATTTGTCTGTGAAAGTACCATCTTGACTAATCTGCTCTTTGGTCGGGTTGTTGTCTCTTTGACCTATTCCCCATTTCCGTTCTCAATTTTAATCTGATCCAGGAATTAAATATAAATGCCAGACAGTCATGAGTCTTTTGAAACTATACAAGATCTTAATTGACTTGAAATATCTTCACACTCTATTTCGCTGTCAGTTCCTTTGTTGTTGTTTTTTATATATATAATTTTTTTTTATTTTTTTGTTTTTGTTTGTTTGTTTTTTTTTTTTCTGTCTTTGACATCAAGCAATAGCAAGCCTCTTTACGGCAAGTTATACCAAAAACTCTATAGAAAATGACATTCACCTCACCTTATCATTATATATGCCTATATATGGTCAACCAATGAGAATAGTATCCTAGTCACACTGGTACCCCATAGTCCTAATAGATATGAGATATGGAGGTAAAAAACTAAATTACCTTAAAAACAGACATGAAATAATATACCTTGCTGCTCTTAAATCAGAAATAAAAATATAAATATATATTCAATTCTTATTTCAATAACATTTCCTGTAATAATTTAATATCCCCTTTTTTATTATTTTTTTTTTATTTTGTTCTTATATTTACTTATATATTTTGTTTGTATTACATTCTTTAACATCTTGCTGTGACATTTTATTTACACATCTAAAGTAAAGTACTCTTCTGATGTCTGTGGTTTTAGAACGCCTCATTAGAAAGATGGGCATACATATGATGTTTATGGACTTGACCACTGCATGCATACTTTA